TGCATCCCAGGAACTCGCTGCTTAGAGGAAGGGGCAGAAGCCCTTTCACACCTCCGTGTAGCGTAGAGGAGCTTAAGTAACTGATTGCCTTGTGATAGTATTACGGTGGAAAAGTTTGAGATGTCAGAGTGCCTGGCTGCCGAGCATTACCATCATCTCAGCTTTATGCTTCAGCTGAGTGTTTGTACCATGGCTCTACACCAGCCTAATGCAGAGCAAACCAGTGTGCAACAGTGCAGGGAGCTGCCAGAATCCATTTCAGCCTGTCAGCCCTGAGCTAACTTAAACCCAGGACTATCCCAATGCTTTCAGGGATGCTAATGCAAGAGGCAGGAGCTCCTGTGCCCCAGTTTGTTGTGGGCTTCCCACAGGACAACCCAGTGCTTCAGCTCCCATGTGCTAAGTTAAAAGTAACAGTGTTTTCCTCCACCAGCTTTCCAGCAACAAGGGAGCTGAAATACTAAACACAGGAAGAGCTTGAGGAACCTCGAGGCTGCAGCAGTGGCAGCCATCTCATACAGAGAACTGCAAGTCTTCCATTGCTGGGGTCTGCTCGCTGGGTCAGCACCAGCTGAGGAGCTGGCTGTTAATTGGCAACATATGATCTAAAGCATATGGCCCAGCAAGGAGATGGTGATGGAAATCATTATAAAAAACATTTCACAAAATGTAAACAACAGGCTTTCTACACAGAGATAAAGATGGAGATTAATGCTTGAATTATCCTGGATAATTAGTGTAGCAGGTAATTATTTAAAATCTGGCACATCTGTGAATACATCACTGACTGAATTAGAAAACCCTCGCAACTGCTGCAGTAAGATGGCTTCAGCGATCCCACAGGGAAATCTTTATGGGAGATTAATTCTCACTTCAAATGGCAGAGATTTGCAGGAGGATTATGTGTCCAGTATGACACATTCGCATTGTGATAGTAAGTGATACGTTTTTTTTTCTCACAGAGGAGCAGAGTGCTGGTTTCTTTGAATTCATGTGTTCTTTGAGCTTCAGGGCTTGGCCCTCTTAAGAAGTAGAGTGTTTTATAGCTGAAACGATGAGCAGCGCTTGAAAGAAAGAAGTAACAAGAACAAGGACAAGAGCAACAGAAGCTCAGAGAGGAGAGTGAAATCCAAACTTGGATTTAAATTCCTAAAGCAACAAGGTCACGCTTGCAAAGCTGGTGGATATGTTTCCTTAGCTTCTTACAAATGTTACCAAAAAGTTGTCATCTGAGAACATTGTGTGAAGCAGCACAGGTCTGTGAGGATCCTGCCCTCCTGTGACCCACCTCTGGAAACCAGCAGCTAGTGCAGCACCTCTGCAGGTGGCACCGAACGTGTTCACCCAGGTGCAATCTTTGCAACAGCTTTGATGCAAAGCAGGCTCAGACTCAGGCAGCTCTCAAAAATGTAAATCTTGCCCAGTGGTCTGCAGTCACTGGGGAGATGCACCAAAAACCTGGAGCACGTCCGGCCGTCCTCTGGGCTGCATTCACAACCACTGCAGTGACTGATGTACTGGCTGTAACTTACGAGTGCCTCAGGTTTGAATTGGGTACTGAATGATCGCTGAAGCATGGTACTCTTGGTACTCAACACAGGGAGGAGAGTTAGGAAAGCTGTAGTTTTGTGTGCAGATTTCACTGTTTAAAGCACTAAAGAGAGCTCTAACCAAGAAAATGGTGGTTTCCTGGCACACAAAGATGTTCTCAGTAAAATTGAAATGTCTCTTTGCTGTATATTTCCAACACAAAACTGCTGCCAGGAGCTCTCATCTGATTTGCTCAGGTTCTCAAAACATCAAGGTGAGTAATTGAGACAGGCTGAATTTCTAAACCCTGGGGAATTCACAGCAGCAGAAAAGAGAGAGGACCAGAAAGATACTTTGAGCTTTGTACAGGGCGTCTTGTCTTTTAAGAGAGGTTATATTGCACTTGTTGACTGAGACTGCACAGGAGGAAATACAGATAGGACTGAAGCCAGCATCCACCAGCCTCACCCACCGACACATTTAGATCAACAGGGATTTACTCAGACCAACCACAAAACTTCCCCACTGAGAAATTCCCGCTACATTTCACAGCAAGGCGCTGCCCTGCACCTCCATTCAGCCCCTGGTCAAGCCTACGTAGTCCTCTTAAGCTACTTTAAAATGAAAGAACAAAAACATTCTGTGCAGCAAAACTTTCTTAGCCCTTTTCTTCATTCCTTTCCCAGAAACTAATTCGCAATCCCCAAGCTATAGATTTACTTTATCCTCCTCTACAAACAGCATCCAACAGCCACTGCTAAATTGCCTCAGCCCAGGCCATGCCCTTTTCATAATGTGCTGAAGGAAATTGCTTCCAAGTCACCACACCTGGTCCCACCACCCACGCTGGACCTTTGGTGGACCTTTGTGGAAGGGAAGGGTAGATTATAACCTTCTCCAAACTACCTTCTCCCTTCTGATTCTTCAACAGGACATTTACACCTACTTCTGTATTGACAAAGAATTTAAAATATACATCTCTCTATCTAAAATAACAGCCTTTGCACTTTCCTTCAGCTACTGCCTTACCCTAAACTCACCAGCTGCCCCAGATAGGGCTGTCGGGGTAGCCAGGTGTCTGTAGTTCCTGCACACCCTGAGAAGGGCTTACTCACAGCAGCACCAAGTAACTCCATCCTGGTCTAATGCAGCTGTTCCCCTACAAAATGCTTTAGATGCTTGAACCAGCAACACACCTCTTGTCTGCAGCCTTTCAAGATGCAGCCACCACTGGGTTTTCCCTGGTAGTGAGCGTGTCTGGGTGGAGCACAAGGAGCTGCAGCTCAGGCCCCATCTCTGACAGGAGAGATTTGATCTCCTGCAGGCAACGTGCCCTCCCCAGCTGCCCCCTGGCTCACCTGGCCTGTGCTGCTGGTCATTCTTTTTCTGAAGACTCTTTCAGCTGAAGTTGCCCATACCAGGAGATGTTCGGGCAGGGAGATGGGCATGAGGGAGCCTCCAGGATTGGGCAGCCAGCCCTGCTTCTGGAAGAGGCTGGGACAGCTCTGCCTTGAACTCGGAGCAGCTGTTGGGCAGGAGTTGTCCTGTGGGCTGGCTGTGGAGCTCGGTGCACTAACCCAGAGTCTGGAACAGCAGCTGCATGGCACCAGCTTGTCCTGCTCTCCTCTAGCTCTACTGAGCTTGCTGCAGCCTGCAGGTAGAGACAAATGAAGAAAAAATGAGCAAGACTTGGTTTTTTTTTTTTTTTGGTGGCAATTATTTCTACTGCTGCAAACTGCATTTTTTGTTACCCAGAACTTAATTTCCACCAGCATCAACTTCTGGTGCTTCATGGTGATGCTGCAATTTCCCTGCTTGTGGGGTGTGATAATGTATGAGGCAAAAAGGGGCATGGCAGGTTGCTTCTCTGAGTCTACCTACAGCTTGAAAACAGCCCTTGCAGTAAACTGGCTGATCCGGACCATCTGCAGAGACTAATGTGCTCCTGGGCCACCAAGGCAGTTGTTCTAAATCAAGAGAGACACATAATTTGAATACACTACTAAAATGGAGTTCAGCTGCACCTCACTGTCAAAATGTGAGCATATTTTACTCATGTCAGAGCACTGGAGCACAGCCAGAAAGCCAGTGTAGTAATTTTTTGAGCTCAATGTTCATCCATATTTTATTAAACTCCCTGTCCTACACTTCTGAGGGCTGCTGCTCTGCAGCCCAGCATCCCTTACTCAGGAGGGCTGCTTGTTCCAGCCTAGTTGAAATCTCAGCAAATTAAAAAGCCCACGTTGTCCTTTTCCTCCTACCTTGCGCTCTTACTTAGCCTAAATCATCATGGCTTTGGTTTAATCTCATGTCAGATACTGTTAATGTAAATGCTGAACAGCTAAAATGTCAGAACCATCAGCTTAGCACTATACTCTGCAATAATAACAATACACAACTTTACCATTTAAATTCAGTGTATTGTTGCAAGCTGTGCTCAGCACTGCTTGGCTTGAAGGCTTCAAACTATTTCCTTCCTTTTCTGTCTAATGTCACTATTTCTGCAGAACGTTCAAAACAGTGGCATTTTTTAGCTTTAAAACTAGCACAAACCAGCATGAAATCCATTTTGAATAGCTGCAGTATCTCTCTGAATCCAGACTGTAGGTAGATGTCTCTGCCCTGATGTTGAAGGGAAAATGCAGTTTGTTACTGAGCAGAGCAGCCTGTTGACTCCACGGACTAGATCGCAAATAGCTTGATTTGGGGATCACCATTTTGCAGTCTGTAAGGTCAGTGTCTTGCACAGACTCAATATTCCTTTCCTGGTGACTGTGTGGACCATGTGCCAGCGTGCAGCAGTAATGCAATGCCATTAACTTTCCACCTTTGTTGGGATGAAAAACACTAGAGCACAGCACGCTAGCATGGTGATACTATACATGGAAAAAAAAAGCCCAATGAAACCCAAAAAAACAAACAGTAAAATGTCTCCTGTTTTGTGTAAGGATAATGCAGAGGCAAGATTTAAAATACGGCACACGTAAAATGTGTCACTTCCTTATAAGGGCTGAATTAATGGATGCTATAAAAAAACAAATCAAAAACACTATGAAGGATCTTTTTCCAGGGAAGAATGTGAGAATTCATTAGATTTGGACACAAGAAACAGCTGTTTGTAATAACATAAGTGCTAGCAACAAGCAAAATAAGAGATATGTTTTCTTGCTTCTTGTATTGGCGAGCTAATAAGCACAACCTCTAAAGGGTGAAACCAGTACTTAGCATGCAAAATTCTTTTTGCTGAATACTGCTATCATCTCATTTCCCAGTGGTTGGTATCTTTACACTCTAGCTGCATTTCACACTGATTTTTTTAAGTACACCCCCAGCGAGGGAGATGGAAGAAACGATACTGCTTTGCCTGCAACTGGAGAAATCCTTTATTGCTCACGTCACCTCCTCAGCCGTGGGCATTTGCTCCAGGAAAGCCTGCCTGGAGCTGCTGAGACTCTTTCTTTCTCTCACAGGACCATGCGGATATTGAGTGGAAGTTTGCACGGACGAAGCTCTGGATGAGTTACTTTGATGAAGGTGCCACTCTGCCCCCTCCTTTTAACATTGTGCCAAGTCCCAAGTCAGTCTGGTACCTTTGCAAGTGGATTCACAACCAGCTGTGCCCAGGCGACGACTCTGACAATGAACAGAAGAGGCATGAAAACCTCAAAACATTCACAGTAAGGAGCTGCATGGTTTTATATTTCATTTTTCGACGGTGCTTGTGCATGTTGAGGATCTGGTGCAGTAGAAGGTGGCTGGATCATAACTTGCTAAGAGCCATTACAAGCTCTAAAGATGGGACTACACAGATAACCTATCCGTGCCTTTCTCTTTCCAGGAACGGCACGCTGACAACCTGATTCAGAATCAACATTACCAGGTAAACTCTTGAGCACATGAAGTTTTTACTTGCTGTTTCTTCTTCCTGCTCATTTTCTAATACCTCGATTCTTGCTTGCTTCTAGAATATATTTGATAAGTGTAGGTCCTCTAAGAGGATTTTGCTTACCATGGATTAAAAACATTTCCTCATTACAGGTGTGATGGTTCAGTAAATCACTCCTGGCCGTTCACCCCCTCTGTAGTAGTAGAAAACTTGCCAGATATCAGTCTGGCTGCTGAAGTGAAAGGTGACATCCCCAATGCCATCAGCGGGAGCAGGCTGTCACACCACCCCAATTCAAACTCTTTCTGCAGCAGTTTACACACTCTTGAATTGTTCCTCTGCTGTTCTTTTTTGTAAATCATCCCTAGCATCCCTAACAGTGATTGGGATTTTCTTTTGTTTTGGACAGCTCAGGAAGGATACATAGTTTCTTTGTTGAATTTTGCTGGTTTTGTTTATTCTCAGCTTGCCTGTCATCAAGTAGTCATTAAAGTCAACCTACAAACGGATGAAACTCTGTTAAAAGCAACTGCTTCAGTACTTGAATTCAGTGTGATACATTATGCCAGCCTGCTGGAAAGGAAAAAAAATCTCCAGAATGTTATGTGGTATGTTAGGCTATACTGTCAAAAGCCATTAGTAATTTGTCTTACTTAAGACTTCTGCTTCTTGAAGAGTATTTTTATCTGAAGTTGATGTTTAACATAATTAGTCACCTTTGGCAACAGAGAGTTGGTACTTTCTGACTTCACAGCACAGCTTATGGGTACCAACAGTGGGATCTCTTAAAAAACCTCCCAGTAAAACAAGGTGCAGAGACCATGCTTGGTGTTGCTCAGATCTGTTATCCCTATTTATGAAATGGGGAAATGAAGGAAGGTTTGGAGCAATCTCTTCTGTATATAGAGATCAATCTTGGTGCGTGTCGGCTGGCACAAGCTCGAAGTACCACTTTGCTTTTGTAAAGCCAACAAGGAGGTTCATGAACACAGAACAAAATGGATCTCATCCCACCAAAAATCTGTGCGGTAACAAACAGCCCAGGTAACGCAGAGGAGCGAGAGGCCCTAGAGGAGTCACTAAGGGTGTGATTCAGTCCTCCCAGCGCTGTCTGCAGACCCTGCAGCAGCCCCCAAAGGAGTTTCTAACCTGTCGTTCAGGAACACCCACGCAACTGGCAGATGCGGCTTCACGTGAACGTGCATTGCCCCACGGGGCCCTGGCTGGGGTCTTCAGATTGCTTCTTGTCAACCCACCCTCTTTGGCTTTCAAATACTTTATAAACAATCTTCAGATGACAAATCTAGCCTATCAGGATACACGGCACATACATGAGATTGGTAATTTTAAAAACTGTCAGCAGCTGATCTTAGAGGGCCTGAGGACATTTAAGAACATCAAGAATTTTTTCTCAATGACTTTTACATATACAAAACAAGTACAAAATACCTGCTCACCATAGTTAACAACTGAGCATTCAAGATGGAAGGTATATAACCCTTTCCAAAGGTTAGTTCTGTTTAAAAGAAAGCCTTCTGTTTCTAATGGTTAAGTGATTTTCTTTTTAGACAGCAGCCAGCACAGCCACTGTCGGTAAGAACCCAGTGAAATGCAGTGAGAACAGTTTGGTCTGAGCCAGCAGTTGAATCACTCATATTGTTTCCTATTCCAGGAAGTGATAAGAAATCTTGTGAAAAGATACGTTGCAGCAATGATAAGAACTTCCAAAACCAATGAAGGTTTAACTGAAGAAAATTTCAAGGTAAGTTATTATTCCTTAATAGTAATTTATTTTATTAATTCAAGTAGCCACTCGCAGAATTTGCACTAACTTGTTAAGATGATTTGTAACCTGCTGTGGAAATAGGACTATTACTGGAGCTGGCAATATAGTGATGTACATATGGGGGGTTTTTTGAGCAGAGAATATTATTATTTGCATGTTTTCTCATAGGATCGCCTCCCAGATTTTAATATACAATGTGTTATGTAGACAAAAGCATTGGAAAATGGTGAGAATGAAGTGTCTGATTTGAGTCAACATCACATCCCTAATCCTAACGCAGGGAGAAGCAAAGAATGAGTCTGGGTTAATAGCTCTGAAGAACACTTACCAACAACATTAAAGTTGGGCTTATCAACTAAACAGGATTCCTGCCATATTTCTACACTTCAGCAGCATTTCCCCTCTTTATAACTGTCTTATTTGACTTGTGGCCAGGCAGAGGGGTTTGGTCCCACAGCCTCTGGAGACAAAGATCTTGTAAGGTCTCCAGTTATGAGGATTACCAATACATATTTTTTTGTTTGTCACTGAATGAGGATGGGTGGGGTATTCTTGCAAGCGTGATTTGGTAACAGCCATCTGCATAACTGAACAGCTCTCCCAAGGGGACGCGGGTATTCTTTCATGTCACAGAGAAAGCTGCTGAGTGTAACTTATTTCTCCTCTTGCTCTAGGAATTAAAACAGGACATCTCAAGTTTTCGCTATGAAGTTCTTGACCTCTTAGGAAACAGGAAGCCCCAGAGGAGAAGTTATTCTACCAGCAGCACAGAGGTGTCCCAAAAGGATGAAACAAATGAGGATGGTGCTGGAGAAAAATCCAAAGCCAAGAGCGTGTCTTTCAATGTAGCCAACAAAAAAAAGGACTTCAATGTATCTGCTTTAATTAAAACTATGTCTGGAATCAATATGGTGGAAGAGAAGCCAAAAAGCAATGGGATCAGTAAGCGCTCCTTTGTCCGAAATGGAAATAGAGTTCAGAGACTTTCAAGCTCCAAGAAGGAGTCCTTTAAGAGACTGGGCCTGCTCTTCTCCAAGATGAATGGACACGTACCTGAACCAAATTCAGAACCCATGTACACTATTTCAGACGGAATTATTCAGCCACACTATATGTGGAAAGACATTAAATATTCTCAGATTGATAAAGAGAAAGAAGAGAATTGTTCCAAAAGTGAAATTAACCTCAATGAGGTGGACTACAGTGGGAACACAAGACTTACAGGACAGAGCAAGGAGTGCCCTGTGGTTTGTACCAGCTCCCTTCACTGTGCTTCCAGTATTTGTTCCTCTAATTCCAAACTTATAGACTCGTCAGAGGATGTGTTTGATTCGTGGGGAGAGGCTTGTGACTTGTTTATAAACCAGTGGAAAGACGGGCAGGAGGATCATGTTACAACTCGGCTCTAAGTAAAGCTGGAAAACTTAGCCAATTATTTGTAATTGTTTGCTCTCATCTGATTCAGCATTACTATTTCCTTTCTGTGCACAGGTGAAAAAAAAAGTGCAAAACTACTTATGTTAGCCTATTTTATAGCCATCTGCACCTTTTTAAATTTACTTTCTTTACACTCACAAATACTAAACAAAAGGTTTCACCATTTATAAGGTCAACTGTAAACCACAGGAATCCCTTCGGATGCAGTCTTAGTCTTCAAACCCCACAGGCTTCAGACAGGCTGGTGGCCAAGTAAAGGATTTCTCCAGTGCTCGCATCGTCATCCCGCTGCCGCTGGGTTATCACCGCTGCTATCCAACACGATCAGCTCTGCGTCCTGCTCAATTTTCCTCATCAACACAACCCAGCTGGTGAGCAGTGGCTTAGCAGGAGGCTGAGAATCATATTTAAAAATCTTTTTAGAAAGGGTTTCAACTTATAAGTGGCGTTTTGTTTTCTTTTAAGCAATACAACCTCCTTTCGGTTGTGTGTGTTTTTTCAGGTTGGTTATTATATTGCTGTTTTAAATTGGTATCGAACAAGAAACCCCTTCGCTTATCCAGCTAAAACATGTTATGATTTGCTTATTTACCTAATTTCAGTATGAAATTCTGCTGGTAAGAATGACCTTCCAGTGAGGCTGACAGTGGAAGCCAGCGCCTGGCCTTGATATCAACTTCTGCATAAATGAACTGACCCAAACCCAGCTGTGGCTGCTTGAAACACAAACCTCAGGGTGGTTCTCATATTTCTAATGAGCTGAACCAAAACCCAGCCCTGAGCCTTGCCCTTACAGCCTACCCCTCAAACTCTAGCTGCTTTTTGAAATTCCTAATCTTACTTCCACTGCTGCATTTGCTTTTTGCTGCCTCTGATGGAGGTCAGGCTTTGGGAAGAAAACCGTCCTCCGGGTATATGGCAAGTGCCAAGAGAGAGTGTTGTCCTGGGGCTGTGAGCTGCATTTCTGAAAAGCAGCATAAGGAATAAGCAGCTCACACTGAGCTGGCAGCCTGTGAAGTCTCTGCAGTTCTTTTCTAAGGTGCAACAAAAAGAAGTGCAGCAGTAGATGTTATATTTGCCCAGTTGCAGCAGTGTCTGGACAGGACCTAGCACTGTCACTGCTTTTGTCCTAAGGAGCATCAGAGAGGGGAGAAGACAACCCCATCAAGGGCAAAATAGCTGAATTTTTAACAGTGATTTCTTTTTTTTTTTTTTTTTTTTTTTTTTTCCCCAACAATGTGATACTTGAACTTTCTTCTGCAGTGTTGCTAAGAAACACAGATGATTGGCACGCACTTACCACCACTTCAGAGCTGTTATTAGTCAGCTGCTTTCTTAGAGGAAGCAAGTCCTGACAGCGAGCTCAGGACCAGCCTTCCCAGCTGACAGAGCTTCGTTACTGCGCTCGCGCGGTCACGCGTAAGGCTCCGTTCTCCGGAGAGGTTACACGAGCTGGAGCGTTTCCCCAGGGCGGTTGCCAAAAATCACCTCTTCAGTGAACTGGGTTGCGAATTGCAGTTGTAAAAGCAGAATGCTGGAAAACCTACGCCTACCCTTGGCACTGGTCAGATTTTACCAGCACAGTGGGGGAAGGAGGAGAGGGATTTCTCAGCACAGCAGTTCCCCCCCCCCCCCCCGCCCCAAAGCGATGCTGGGGTGCATGCAGCTGGACGATCTGTCTGAGTTTTAAATCTGGCTCCCTCCTCTTGGTTAAAGAAAACCACCTTGTTGGGTTTTCCCTTTAGGCACCTATACAGCCTTACTTAAAGGTCATGATGGAGCACACGTTATCAGAGAGGTAAATGTGAACGATGCAGCAGCTCCTGGAGCGGAGCTGCAGATGCCAACACACCAACCAGACTCGGTAAGTTTTCAGTACAGACCTCAAGGTGGAGGCCATGGCTCTAGGCCAGCTCTGGTGTCAAGAAAAATCAGCAACAAGGAACAGAGACTTAAAAATGTTTCTGTACTCCTTGCTTATAAACGACACCAGTCTTGTCACCAGCATGCAGTGTAAAGCCCAAAATATTTAAGCCTCTAGATGCGTTAGTTAAGGCAGAGTGAAAAGCATTTTTGTATCAACAGATTTCAGGCTTTCATACTAATTGCAGAGTTGTCTTTGAAAACTGCATCTCCTCTTCCTTTATGAAAGGCTGAGCAAACTGACATTGGCGCTACACAAGGAGACTTGCAAATTCTGAGGGCCAGAAGCAGCTTGCTGATCATTCCTGAGGAACTCCAGCACCCCTGCCTTGCAAAGGCAAACCCAGTGACACGCGAGAGCTGCAATCAGAACCAACCGAAAGCAATTCTCAAAGCAGCTCACAGTAAAAGCCCTGCAGTTCAGTAAACCAGACCGAGCGCGTTTCTGGAAAGATGAACATGAGCAAGAGTTGCTACAGGGGGGAGAAAAAAAGGGTTTGAATCATTTTGTGCCTCACCTCACTGCACTGCAGTTTATGAATTCCACTTGACATGGGGCCAGCAAATCTTTACGGTATTTCCTGTGTAACAAGTAAGAATGAAAACAATTCAAGTAGGGTTACGCAGATTACATCAACTGAGTCTGAAGCTGGGACAAAAGCAGGATTCTTATGCTCAGACAGTAGAAAGGCTTTTAAGATTTCCATGGGAGCAAGCACACTGCTACTGGTGATGATTATCTTGTGTCATTCAAAGGCAGCACTGCATTGACAGGTACAAATAACACGATGAAACGCAATTAACTCTGCAGTGGTGCCCCCCTCAAAATGTAAAAATGACACCAGGCAGTGCAAATCCTTCTGTGCAAAGTGCGTGAATCATGATCCCCTGCTGCGTCCTGGAAGGGCCGGGGTAGGAACTGCCACGGGGAATAACACAGTCTGCAAAAAGCTCTCGCCAACGTTATGTTAAAGGCGAGAGGAACGTCACATGGCGGCTTGGCTGGGGCTCCCCTGGGATTTGTTTCACAACTCAGATACTTCCTAGCTCCCAGCTATGAGCTAGGCTGAGCTGACTTCAGAGTTAAACGCAAATATTTGATTTGGATGTGATTAATATATGCGTTCAGGAGTTTGCAAAACTGACTGTCAGATTGGTCCCCCAAAAGGCAAAATTCTGTTTGATTCCATCTATGCATCCCCTTTGGTAGCAATAGTCTTTATAGCAGCTGGTGAATTATCATTATTATTCTAAAACAGGAGCTTCAGGGGAGGGAAATTAAAGTATCTTGTGAACAATACATTTGATAAGCAAAACCTGCTTTTTAAAAAAATCTCTTGCACTCACTATTTGGGATTTCACTAGCATTTTTCCATTTTCAGTTGCTCAAAAAGAAAACACGTCTTCGTGAAAGTTATTCTTTCCTTCAGGGAAATCAGTGAAGTACCCCGTGCTGTCTGCACGCGCCCAGGGTAGGAGCTGATGGGACACCTGGAGCTCCTCCTGTGAGGAGTTAAACTTTTCCTCAGCTTGGGTTCAAGATGCACAGCTGTGCCCCAACTGGTACATGCTTGGCTTTTAGCCCACGGGCTTCAATAATCCTTACACACATGCAAGGAATTTGGAATTAGGAATAACAGAGACCTTGACCGCTTGCTTTAGGCTTCATGCTCTTGAAGTGGCTTTGTCACCTCCCACCCGCCCGTGTCATTTTCATCTGGCTTTTTAAGGCAGCACACCTACAGATGATTACCAGTTAAAAAGTGAACAAATAACATCCAGGGTTAAGAATATCACACAGAGCTAGGCAGTGTTTGTACTCAGGTCAGAGATTAAAGAAGTTGTTTCAGAAACAAGAAATTAACTGACATATCTCTGCAGATTATTTGGATAATTTCAATTGTATATTATTCACTTACCAGTATATATGTAAATACTCAAGTATTTGTATAGGTGGTCCCTACAGAGGAAGCATGCACAGCGGGCAGAGCACAGGCTTCGGGAACAGGACTGCGCAGGTCTGGTCCCAGCTCTGCCACTGACTCACCCGTGACCTTGGGCAAGTCACTCAGCCTCTCTAATGCCTCAGTTTCCCCATCTGTAAAATAGGGATAATAATACTTACCTACCTCGCAGGGGGGGTTAGTTCATTATTTATAAGCACTTTCAAATCTTCAAGTTAAAGGCGCTATATACAGTAAGTAGTTAATATTCGTAGCAGTAGTATGTACTTTTATTTTCTTACAACTAATTCAGGTTAGGATTTAACCGTATGTCCGTTATGATAGTTTTCCAGGTAGAAAACTGGCATGGTTTCCCACAAAGGGAATTTAGGGCACTTCTGCAGTACACGGAGCAGGAGCAGCACACCCTGGAAGCCTAAACTACAACACCCTTGCTTTTGTGATTTATGTTTCACCCTTAATGTCACCTCACTGTATTTGTGTTTCATCCTTTTTCTGATGGTACATGTAACATAATTTTTAGCAGAAACAGACACTGTAAATATTAAAGAGTATTTAAATAAATACATTCATGTGTATATATATATATATATATATATATATATATATATATAACACCTTATCTTTTAAAGAGGTTAAAATTGGTTGATGCAAGAGACTTGTAAGCACGGGGAGGTTTCACAGGCAGCCCAGCACGGATGCGTGCGCGCGGCAGGACACTGGAGTGGGGCTATAAGAAAACGTCACCAGATGTCATCGCCTCCTTCGTGTTCCCTTCTCACCCCATCGCTGGCAAGGGCAAAGTCACGCAGGTGACAGGGGGAGGCCGTGGCTGGAGGAACCTCTCCCGGAGAGCGGGACACTTCTGTGTCCCTAACAAGGGGGCTCTTCGCCCCGATTTTGCTGGAGGTACAATTGGGTTTGCTTTACTGCCGACTCAGGATAAAAGTCTTCGGGTTGAGTGACGGGAGCTCCAAGTTTTGACTTGCACGGTCAGGGCTCTACGAGCATTCGGAGCTCCCCTCCGGGACCACGAGCAGTTGCAGGCTATCTGCACCGAGCATTTTGACAGTGTAAGCAAGGATCTGATTTACTTCTGGGCTTTCTAGCAGTTGGAAAACTACATGAGCACCTGCTGCTCTCACACCATTAAGTGTATGTCCCACTTCCCTTGAGACTTCTCAGATTTGCTTTGATATTTCTACTTCCCTTTTTGAAAGGCCAAAAGCCCAAAGAAAAGCGTATTTCAACTAACCATTAAGAGGTACGATTTTGGTTTAATTTCTGGCTGAGTTAACTCGTCCTTTTCCATGGCCAGGCCTGTGAGAAAGCTCCGCACAGCCTCAAAGCAACAGGATCACCCTCCCACCTCCCTTGCAATTCCCCAGTCAAACAGAATGGCAAAAAGGAAGCAAAATCAATCAAACCACTAGGGCTGCCTAGAATTAAATGAAGTTGGTACTTAATGAAGAACTCTCTGGAGCTGTTTTGGGGGTAGATGTGCTGCAGGGACCTCTTCCCCCCCTGAGGAACCTCCCGGGCCACCAGCACCGCGGCACCGGCCAAGGCAGGGCTGGCTGCAGCCCCTGGCTCTGCTGGGAGCACCAGCATGGTACACTGGTGAATTTTGATTCACTACAGTGAGTAAAAAAATCAGCTCACTGGAGGAGCATCTAAAATATACCATCGCCAAAACAAGCTGGAGTTTTCAGAGATGTGTAACTTGAAACTGAACAACTCCGAAGTCAGTCCCTGACTGGATTTTGGGTTTGGAGGAGACAGGGAACACTCTGGGGTAGCTACATCAGTGTATTTTCTCAACATCTGTTATTTGATTTTATTTAATTTTCACACTCCTACCTTCCCCATTTCAGGCCATTACATTTTTACAAACAAGGCGCTGTTTATTATTATTATTAATTTACATAATTGCTTCCACCCAGAACAACTACTGCTCTGGAGTAAATTCACAACCAAGAATGATTGTTTTAAAAAGAGAACACAGAAGTGTTTGATCCTTATCTTCTGAACCTCTGATAGTATTTTATGCTTCAGGGAAACACTTTCACCTGCTCTGGTTTTTTAAGGTGTGCAAAACCAAATAAAAACCCCAACTATAACAAGTATAGAAGCTCCCTGACGTAGCTTAAACCACTCACAATTTTAAAATCCAAATTGATCTTGCAATTCTTTCTTTACATGCAGACCCTGCTCAATCAATGGCTCACCAACTACGGAAACTCATGCAGCCCATCCCGCCTGGCCAGCACCTCCTCCTTCAGCATGCCTTATTTTGTTTATTTGGGGGATGATTTTTTTTTTCCTCTCCTATTTAAAGCAATTCCATATCAGCAGTAACTCCTGAGCCAGAAGAAAGGATGTGCTTAGGACAAAACGCGATCAATCAAGGAGCTGGCCTTTTAGCACATTAGCTAACAGAACACTGTGATACCTTTAGCCAACAGAGTGAAATGCCTTTTGATTATAAATAGTTGTTTTTGAGCAAGGGGGCACTTTTTGGTCTAGCTATTTTTTGGGTATTGTACAGTCTTATTTAAAAACTACTGAATGTGTTTATAAGGCACGTCTGGGAACTCGAGGACTAGGGATCTTTGAGAAGCAAAGGACAGTAGCAGATACTTAGAATACTCTATTTTCTATATGGCAAGCCCTAGAGACCCGGGCTTACTCTGCAAACAGTTTTTTTAGCAATCGAGTTTTAATATCAAATTAAATCTTCATTAAAAAAAAGCTATCACAGAAACAGCTTCACACCTGAGCATATTTTAAAATGCCATTTTACTTCATGGGATAAAAAAGGTGAGGCTTTTTTTTCCTCCGTTATTTTAGTTTTGGTCAAAAACTTCTTGATGGCCTTTTCCAGGCAAGTGAGCTTTTAGATGTGTAAGAATTTTGCGTATGTAAAGACAGAGTGGGGACCTCAGCATTTGCCAGTTGAGTAGTAACAGCCACCCCTTGAGAAAGGGGGGAGGAAAGGGAAGAGCAAAGAGCAAAAACAAATGCTTAGTTTTATGTACTTTTCTACTTGCATCTCTTCAATCCATAGTGCAGACTCCATGTCATACCCTCGTATAACAACATGTAAAAATGAAATGATGTACATAATAAATAAAATTATTTATTTTATGTGTATTTTTAGCTTAACTGTAAACTGAAAAAATTTAATTTTTTTCCCAAAAATGTAAGCCTATTGAAATTCAAGGTGTTTCTACCTTTTCAGATGTAACATTTCCAGCTGCCTATTGATAATAAACATTTATGAACAGCAACAGATCTGGCATTTTGTAGTTTTTTTAAATCATGTTCAGCACAGAATTCTCAAGAGCTGTCAGTGGTCAGAGGAGCACTGAATGGCTCCAATTCTATACAGATTTATATTGGTATTTATGTAAAAAAGACATGGCACAGTCCTACTTACCTACGACAAAGTTAGCCACCCAGATTTGAGCAAGTTTTCATGGGCAAGAGCTGAACAACACCTGGCTGTGAAAAAAAAACAACCCAAACCCATTAATTATATCCTGTCTACCACAGAAAACAGCAAACCACTCAAAGTGTTGGTAAAATGCACCGCATGAATGCAAAGAAGTCTAAGGAAGCATAACTCCAGTTTAATTTGCTCCCCAAAGATAACCTTCAATCAGCACGACTACATCAGCCACATTAGAATATACAGCAGTATAGCTAATCGTGTAAAAGAGTCATTAAGCAACAACATACAACTATATTAACTAATTTGCTCATGTAAAGCTGTCCTCCAAACAAATCTCATTAAAGTCCTGGAGGCATGCAGAATCATTCCAAAAGATTTCCATCAACCACCAAAGGCTCTTGGTCAAGCCTCCAGTAAAACAAGCTTCCTCAGGTTAAACAAGGCAATACCCCTTTCCTTGAAACGCAGAAGATTCCTGCATGAGGGAGACACACAGAAACACACACAGTCCATGCCAAAAGCTGTAGCAAAGCCCAGGACTACAGTGATCCATAGCTACAGAATTTTAAAAACCCACATAAAGACAGAAGGTTACTTTTATTTTTTTTTTTTTTTTAATAGAAAAGGACATTGCCAAGTTGGATGTGCACCTTCCCACTTGCATCAGAAAGCCTGGAAGTTCAAAGTTAAGGCACTTTAAATCCCCAGCTGTACCTTCTATTCCAGAAACGGGAACTGAACTGCACCTGAAAATGACTTCCCTCCCCTGCAGAAGTATGTGTTTCAGCAGAAAATACCAGATTTGACCAGCGAGGGAGGTGAGAGGCAAGAGAAGAAATTTTACAGTGTATTTTATCTCCTCTTCCACTTCCTGAAAAGTAATACAAGTCACACATTCACATAATCACCATAAACATCAAAACAAACATATTTGGTTTTCAACTATGACAAATATTTAAAGAGTACTGGATTAAAAAGAGAATCAGAAACCACAGTTTTAGATTTGATTGGAAAATGCAAATAGGCAGGGTAGGGAACAGGAAAAAACATATAAAGGAGAGGGTAGAGGGAGTTAGACGGTCCATTAATTTCATCATTAGAGGATATTCCTTTTAAAAAAGACCATTTTCTCTAACACAAAGTCAAGCAGTCATCACAGTTACAACAACAGAACAACACTTACCTTGGGGTAAACCCCAGCACCTCGAAGCTCTTGGCAAAATGTCCACCTGCACCAGGGAAGGTGAGATTTCGCATCTGGAATAAGTGTTGCCACAAACTGAGCCCAACACCCTGTTGGTGTTGGGTGACCCACCCTGTCGGGGCTCAGGCACGTGTTCCCGTCAGCGCAGATCGCCACGCTTGCAGAGATGACTGACGCCATCATACATGCTCTTAGCCCACGGCTCACCCGGGCTGAACTATTTCATACTTGCCGCAGCTCGGCTGACTCTGAAATCTGGTTAGCAGCAGTGACTTGATCACGTGTAGGAGTTCCTAGATACAGGCAAAATTTAAACTCTGATCTTATTTCAAAGCTATAAAGTCCTGGTCCAAGTATTTTATCTTCCTCCCTTATGAAAAAAGCAGTTACTTGGAAGGCTGGGTCTGGATTTATGTGTTGAATATCCTCCATATATAACACAATCTTCAATGGTGTAATTTTATAAAAGAGAAGGGTATCCAGCAGCACTGCAGAGAGACCTGAAAGCTAAGAGTAAAACAAAACAAGTGAGCTAGTGTCATGGTTTGAGCCTGGTCAGCAGCCAACCACCTCGCAGCCGCTCACACACCCTCCCCCCCTACCTGGGAATGGGGGAGGGAATTGGAGAGGTAAAGGGAAACTCGCAGGTTGAGATAGAAACAGTTTAATAATGGTAACAAATGAAAACAGTGACAGCAATAGAAAAATATAAATGGGCAATGCACAATGCAATTGCTCACCACCCGCTGACAAATACCCAGCCTGTTCCCAGCTAGCGATCCCGAAACACCAAGATCCCGCAGTCACAATCCCGGAAGCGAGAGAGGCCCTTTCCAACCACCCCTCTTCTATATAGTGAGCATGATGTTCCATGATATGGAATATTTCATTGGCCAATTTGGGTCTGGTGCTCTGGCTGTGCCCCTTCCCTGCTTCTTGTGCACGGGCAGGACAGGGGGACTTGGGAGAGTCCTTGAAATCTCAGTAGCAGCTGAAAACATCAGTGTGCTATCAGCATTCTTCTCATACCAAACCCAATGCTGAATCTAAAACAACAGCACTATTCTAGTTACCAAAAAGGAACATTAACTCTATTCCAGCCCAAACCAGGACAGCTAGAAAACCAACTTGCTGTAGGAATGGGTTTGGTGGTGTTACGTGGCCAAGAGGAAAACAGCACAGGAGTGATAGCCCAGCAGGCCAATGATGCTGGCAGGCAGATCAGGGTGGGTTTTCTCTACAGTACTTATAATAATTATCTTCAGTAACAGATGGATTTTACAATCTAAAAGACTTGAGAAGCACCTCTGCCCAAACAGCACGCTTCTACTTCACCGGGCAGTGAGTGGTGCTCAGAGAACAGAAGCGCAGCCGAGTCTGGCGACCTGCAGGCAAAGGCAGTCAGGCTGAAGCCTGCTCCTCCTAAGTGCAGAAAGATTTGTAGCAGTTTAGAAGAGACTGACGTATTTAAAAACAGGAGCAGCTCACACCCCAGAGCACAAGAACTATGGTTGATCACCGCTTCTTTCAACCTACGGTTTCAGAAGAGATGAGGCTTGGCTCTGAAGCTGTTTATTAGGGCTATGAAATCAGAAGTGCTCACATCTGAAGAGAGCACTCTGTGGCGCTGCCAGCTCATGGATCCTTCCTGCACAGCCTTCAGGTGTTAATTTAATTTGAGCCCCTGCCTTTCATATATAAAAACACACTGTGGAAAAGGAGGCGGCAAGCATGACTAGTGCAGACTTGGCTGCACAACTCTTCTGTTCTCCCTTTTAAAAGGTTGAAAATCCATCCACAGAAAATAAAGAAAAATGAAAAAAAAAAATTTCAGGATTGAAACCTTGCTTTAAAAATTCATTATTATGAAACATATTTCAAGAAGCCCAATATCGAAAGAAAGGAGGAAAAAAAAAATAATAAAAACATATCAATCTGAAGGAAAGTAATTGTTACCAATAGAAATCAATACAGATTTTTCTGTGCTTCTACTTGAAGGTAAAATATGCTTATGGCTGCAAGCCACATCCCACTACCCCCCATCATAGCAATTCTGTGATTCTGCTGTGCATAAAAACCCAGAGCAGCGGTCTGGTATCAAATTATAACAGAGCAAAAATCAAATGGTGTGCCAAAGTAAACAAGTCTGCATGACACAGGATCCCCACAAAAATAGACCCTGAGCCCATACCTTGGTACCTACAAGCCACACATACATACTCCCCCCAACAAAAAAATCCCTCTCAAACCCCCATAATTCTATATCATTTTAAAGTGAATTATCTGAAAATGCAACTGTTCTGTAGCGATTAGTCACTGGAACACTTGACCACAAAACTAGGATTATTATTAGTACAGGAATGCTGCAGGCAGACCTAGTCACCACTCGATGAGGAAATGGCTGAAGCATGAAGCAGGTTAGCTGTGTTTTAGATAGAGCTGTGGCTTTTTAGGCAGCTGTTTTAGTAAGTGATGTAGAGCTATTGTAGAGCACCACAGCTCTGGAAAGTAGAATTGAAAATAAGACTCCAGTATTCACTTAGATTTCTGTACCATTCTAAGTTCTTTTGCTTAGAATAAAAAGGCAGCATTTCCTGACCTACAGAGAACATTCATCAATTAGCTCCACGACACGCTAACTGTTCTCCACAGCCCCTGCTTGCTAGTTCAAAAAGTTAATTTTGAGCCTAAACATCTCTGGCAAGAATACATGTATCAAGTCACAGGGATACATCTGTATTTCAAATCCATAAATAAGCTAACTGGCTACATTTTACATATATTATTATATGAAGTAATGTAGTTTTCATGCATATCAAAGTGGCCAACAAGGCCACAATAGTCATGGTTAATGCTGAATAATCCAGCTACTAGAAGGGTAAGCAAAAGCATGGAAAAACATGACTCCGTATCAAAATTGTACATCAGTGTTTCTAATTAAAAAAAAAGTTGAGTTCAGGAGACAAACTAATGCCAGAAGATAAAACACGAACTCAGCTACAATAAACATTTGTGTAGCAAAAAGCAAGGCTGTCTCAGTAGAAGAAAGGAGGCATTATTCATAGCTAAAGCCTGAAAGTGGAAGATCCTCACTTCAGTGCCTGACAGCAACTGTTTGGTGTATGACAGATGGCACTCGTGAATGAGGTGGAAACACACTTGATAACTCCATCATGGAGACTGTACTTCTTAAGCGTGTTTCATCCTGAAGTTCATAAAATAAGTCACATGCTTTGCTGGTTCGTTTAAGAGGTCAGTTTAAGTCTAGTGAATGCTTTTTCAGAGAAAGGAGGAAAAAGTCCTGCGGTATCTTCTCCCTTTACTGAGAAATGTCTGTGCAAGCCTCCTCCAGAGGCAGAAGTACAAAGGCCAAGGTCTTAACTGCAACCAATTACTTTGTAAAATCATTTCGTGTGCATGTTTTGTTTTGTTTTAAAAACAGCACATCAGCTCCTAATCAAATCAGCTACTCAGGGATCATTTCCATCATTCTTTGGCTTTTTACCTGGCTCTTCCATCTTGAAAAGCCATTATTAAATTGCTGAGTTAAATGTACAGCAATTAAGAGATTTGAGAAGACAAACCAGAAGCCAGGCTTGCAACCCTCATGACAGACGATTATATTACCATCTTCTCTTTAGGAAGCAGGGGAGAGAAGGGAAAGTCTCAAGAGAATTAAGGAAACAGCATCAACACCAAAAGTGCTGCATGAATTTAAGATAAAATTGTAAGGAGTCACTTCGTCCTATTATTTATGCATCCATGGTTACTTAAAAGGGATAATGAAGGAAGAATACTTTTTTCTGCTCCCAAATCCTGCAGTCAATCTCCTTTTCACCACACTAAAACTTAGCATCACATGGAAAAAAACATGTAAGAAAACCACTAAACAGTAGCATGGGCCCACAGAGTTGAAATCAACTTTGGCAAATCAGAATTTTGCCACTGTGTGAAGCTACTGACTTCATCTCCCTATCTAAAGCAGCCAAGTTTGAATATGGAGGACTCAAATTCCCCACAAGATTTGGCAGCCAAGGCTTTCACAATCCAGCTCAGGGACCCAAAAGCTGAAGTCATGAAAATCAAGATTTGTTAACTAACCATCTTTGCCGGAATTCAGGGCCTCCTGCACTGAGCTGGCATAACCTGCACCTGTGCCCTCGTTTGTGGCCCCAGGACAGGGCTGTGTCACCAGGACCACAGAGGGCTGTGGGCAGGGCCCTACTCGCACCCACTTCTTGATGATTTTGCACGTACAGTGCAAGTTGCTATCAAGGACAGAGCCTGTGCACTCAGTCCTCTGAAAGAACTGCAGTTCATGTGCCCAATGCTTTCCTCCTAAACTGATCACCAAAAACACAGCTAGAGCTTTCCACTGTGCTTCATTCTCACACTGAAAGCTTTTGCTGCTTTCTCACTGAAGGCTGGAGCAGCTTTATCCCACACAAGAAAACTACATTTCTTCGGTCCAGGCTGTTGGATGACTAATTGTCAGGAACATAACCTGCCAGTGATAAACGACCACTCATTTTCCTGTGTTCAATGCTTTATTTTGTACTGTCAGTGCAAATTAAACACCAAGACTACCACCATTTGTGCAACAGCTTTCACAAAACAAATCTTACAAACGTACAGCAATATACAACAGATGAAAACAGCATTCTTACACTTTGAAGAGTAATGAAGCCTGTGCAGAATGAAGTTAGACAAAAAACAGCTATTAGTAGTGATCACTAATGGTAAAGTTTTGTTTTGCGAAATCTGAGAAAGCCAACCTATTTTAACCATTTTCATCCTCTAATAACCCTATGCCCAATTTTTATCTGTAATTCTAATGGAAGCCTATTTCATTACTTAAACAAGAAGCAGGTGTCTGAGTGTTGCAGTGCAACCCCTCAGAATTAGATTATGCATACTTCCTCTGATGATAGTATGGTTTTAGACATACTTTATGTAGTCAAATTCAAGCTTTGTGTTCCCTCCACTATAGTTTGAATATACTCTCCCTATGCTTTCTGTGTAATTGACTAAAACACCTTGTCAAGTCAACTATCACAAGCATAAATGCGAAGAGAAAAGTGAAATTTGAATGCAGTTTAATCAACTGACACAGCCCACTAAGACACGATAACATTTACGAAACAGTATTTACGTAGAGTTGACAAACAAGAAACAAGAGAAACCAAGGGAAAGAAGTGACCTTACAGCTCCCAGGTTTACATTCCTTGAGGCACGTCATGAGGGTTAGGTGAGGCAATATAGCTGACTTGGTGCACTGGTCCAGAACTTACAGCATTCGCAATTTGAGGAGAATTTCCATAGGGTGGATTTACAGGATGCCAGGTACTAACATAGCGATAGGCAGGTACTAAAGAATCAAACCCAGGAAGAGGTTGCTGGCTGAAGGGGTCCGACATGACTGGGTAATATACTGGCCCGTAGGACACCGGTGGAGGCTCTGCATTTTGAAAGTTACCTTAAACAAACAAAAAAAAAAAGAGGATTAACAAAATACACATGCTTACCGTGTTTTACCGTACCTATGGCCTTTTTATGCAGACCTTCATTACCATGAACACAGCATTATTTTGGCGGCCAAGAGAGAAAATACACTCAGGTGACAATTTTATGCCCATATATATCGCTCCTAACGGAGGGTGCCAAATAATGTTGGGTCCTAAGTTAGACTAGAGGACAACTTGCTCATCTTCTCACTAAACCCTGTTCAAGAATTGCTTAGCAGCATCCTGCCAAGGATTGGCAGCTTTTTCTTCAAGAGCCACTCAGGTGGAGAGCTAATACATTCTTCCCCTGGGTGATCTCTGACACTGATCTATGCAGAACCACCACCCGAGCTGAGCAGGCTGAAGCATCGGCTGAGCAATAAGCCTGTATAGCTCTGAGCAACAGCACTGTTATGATGCGCTCCTGCCATGTTCCATAGATTTTAATGAGCTAGGCATCTGACCTTTTAACATCATTTTCCTCATTTAATACCATCCCCCCTATTTACTGCCAAGTGTATCTACAAGCTTGTTACAAAGCTGCTAGCTGAAACTAAGTTTTGCTGTAAATTTTATGCACAGCAAGAGACACGGCTAGCAACACGGACTATGCAAGAGACAACAGATCAGCTTGCTAAGCCTAAAATTAAGGTTTGTAACATCTTCCTCTGAAAAATTCCCATGGAGTTGAAGAACTGAATCTCAGTGCTTGCCCAAACTCAGTTGTCTCCTTTGCTGTCTTTAAGCAGGCGTTCTGCTTTCATAACATGACTATTTGCATCTCGGTAAACAAAGAGATTCCTTCACAGATGGTGGAGCAGTCACACTGAAAACCTGCTCCCTCACCTCCCATTAGTCATGTATGTGGTCTTACACTCCAGTACTAACCGTTGGCAGGGGCTTCCACCAAGGGAACCTGGTGGACGTCAGTTCGCCCAGCATCAGTGTAGACCTGAGGTACCGACTGGTCTAGGACAGGAGCTGGATCAGGATAGGCTGGATAAACTTCCACAGGCGATGGTGGCAGCACTGGCTGTACATACACCATGGAAGGCCAATAGCTCTGATGATAATACTTTGAGAAAAGACAAAAATACAAGGTCATGCGTATAACCACATACTCTTCCCATCCCTCCTTCAAATTACTACTCATTTCACGTCTAAAGTTTGGAAGAAGTGCGTTTCTAGCTACCTAGTCCCTTAAGATACTACACACACCAAGAAAACCCCTACAGCCTACTGGAAAAGATACAATACCTGTGGCAACACTGCTGTCGTGTCAGAAACCTTCACAGAGAAAGAAGATTCCTACCTATCAACTTTGTCATATTCAAAGAAATTTCTCCTATTTCTTCAGCTGAAGCTGTTGTGACTTCTTGTGCTTCCCTGAGCAACAGCACAGACAGTGCCTATGACTGCTGGTGCAGGGACAACTCGTCAGCTGAGCAAGGACTCCCAGAACACAGAGAGATGGTGCTAACCAGTCTGAACACAGATGTAAAGTCCTAGAAGCCTCAAGCCACACATCTCTAAATGGCCTTTAATGTCAAAGTACACAAATTTTCTTAAGAATGGTGCAGATGCCTCCCCTTACCTTCACAGAGAGAACAATATTTATCCACTACCCTCCTCAGAAACAAAAGCAAAACCAAAAAACCACCACCACAAGTCAAAGAAAAACAACTAAACAGACATACTAGTGTGCTTCACATTTTAAGTTAGAACTTCCCTTCCTGAGCTATACCTTCACCTCCACCAAGCAAGCCTGTATGTATTAACAGTCAAGGGCACAGGATGCGCATTTAGCACACTCGGAAGTCTTAAATCCATCAGTACTTTTGTCAAGAAAAACAGCACTTTTTACAGGCAGTTTACTCATTTTAAAAGCACTTACTTGCAATCCCAGATTAAAATAATACCGCAAGACTTTTGTATCTGAAATTAAAGGATATGACATTAAAGAGCAAAAGAGTATAAACTGAGAAGCAAAAGAAATTTACACATACTAATAGCATTTTCTTTTCAGTTACTTATTAATGAATGAGAGTATTTTAGCACTGCATTTTCTTTAAAGCTTTGAGGGTAAAGAATATATCTTGAATAGAAACAGTTGTTAAAGCTAGTTTAGTTTTTTATGTTAATCCAATTAGATATTTGAACAACATTAGAGCATTTGTCCGACCAACTTATTAGCAAGCTTCAACTATTACACTGGCTGTAATGTTGGTTTATTCATCTTGATCGCTCAAGTGATAATTGTCAGTGTGGTTACAAGTCTCCACTGTCTAAGCAATTAGGCCCCAAGCAATTCTGCCTTCCTATTAAGGCTGGGTGTTTAGAGAAAAGAAGTATTTTATCAAGTAAGAATTTGATTAAGAACTCCTAAATTAAGTTGACCACAAAAAGCACTCCCTCCCTTCCTCACTACAGAAATGAGAAAGTGTTTGGAAGCAAGCAGCCAGGCAGGAGGAGCCTTCTCATACAGCAGTGACAATCCACTGCCAATGTACACACATAATACATACACTGCACATATATTGCAAATACCCATACTGGGCTGGCATGCCAGACAACGGGAAGCTTCATAGACACTCCAGCTTCATATCGCTTCTGCCCGGTGTAAACTCTGCCTCTGCCAGCATCTCCCATCTTTAGACCTTTCTTGACCAATGACAATAGAGACACGTCAATGGGAACAAAGTATGCAGTGATCCTAAGAACAGCTGACCTAGCTCTGTGGGTCCCCTCAATTGGTTTATCAGGTCAGAAAATGGAGGGGGGGGAGGAATAAAGAATCCATTCCTTCCTTCCCCCCTTCCTCACAAGGCTGCTCAGTTCCCTGCTTTCTCAAAAAGTAGTCTTCCATGTACTGAAGAACTTGCTCCCAGGCAAATACATGATACACCGAGAAGCAATCCCACATGCATGGAGGAACTTTGAAACCACTCTCCAAAAACAACAGGGGTTTGAACTTGGAAACACATTCCCAGCTGTCCACAAACACTGAATGTGTTTTGAACCTTTAAAGATGACCACTGAAAGAAAAAAAGAGCGCCCACGGCTTAATCATACCATGCAGTTCTGGAACTGTGCATGAGAAAAACTGCTGCTTTCTCAGATCCAACAACAGATTTCTTTTATAGGCTCAGGAGGAGCAAGTAACCTATTCCACAGCAGTAGGTTTGCGTGTGCGTGCACACACGCAGACTTCGCTATAGCACTGCCGGGAGCTGAAGGGGAAAGCAGAGACACAACTGAAAAGCAGCAAGCCACTACAGCCTTCAACTTCAAAACACCTCCAGCGTTACCATACCTACCATCTTCTTAGCACTTCCCCCCCAGACCAGGGCCTTGGCTCCACACTGCTCCTCTGTCCACCCATCTACCACACGCGCACACGTTCCAGGCCCTGCTCCGCTACGATACCGCGTGTCTGATCTTGCTGCAGATAGGCACAGCGTCAGAAATGAAAACCCCAGCCTTGAAAAGCACGAGGACCTCTTCCTCTGTTGCTCTTGCCAAGCCTCAACTCTTTCACTGCTCAGCATATTTCATCAGGGCAACAACAATCCACACAGCTATTTCAGGAAGTGCACGCAGATCCTTCCTTACACCCAACAGCTGTAAGCTGACTCCCAAATGTGCTGGTGATTTGGCTGTGACACTGACCACACTCACTCCAATATTAAAAATAACCCAGAAGCTCACTGAAATGCCAGCTTTTCATCAGCTAGCTGAAACGGCATCTGCGTTTGGAACAAGTTGCCTTTTCCCGCCCCCCCCCCCCCCATTTAAATCTGATTTCGTTCTTCAATTGTTTATGCAAATCTATGCAAAACAAGCCTAAGAGCTGAATGAAACAGCTGCTTCATAGCAGCAGCGATAACAGCACAAAGGAAGAGCTGGGAGACTGAAGTGACAAACTGATACTGGAAATACTGACGTCTGTGGAATGCTGGAACAGAAGCCAGTACAGTAGCAGACCAGTTTTTGTTTATACTCCTCCCTAAGATGCCTAGAAATCAAGTCAATCTTCAGTAAAACACAACTACCCTACAAAGCAACAGCTAAGCCAAAAAGAGTTAACCAACCTGGCACAAAAACATAAACACCCGGTGGACTACTGATACCATCCTCACCCTACAGTGCATGAGGGCAAAAATCACAATCAAATTTTCACTGTGCTGGTGGGAAGCCCTGGTCGATCCTGAACACTACTGCAGCCCCTGGAACACAGTACTAGCAGGCAGTCTTTTATCAACGGCTCCTTCAAACACAAGGGAGCTGGCAAGGCCGGGACACCTGAGGTTCACCATGGAAATAAACACGTTTCTCAAGCCCAAAGCTCCATTGCAAAAAGATCCAAGAGACTCTGAAAATTGGAACTAATGCAGGCGTAACAAGTAATGCACCAAGGCACGTGGCAGGTTGTCCTCCCAAGTCCAGGACTGCACTCTGCTCACAAGTCACACTCCCAATCCAGACACCAGGCCTGCAAGTATCCAGAAAAGTGCACGCAACTCCAGGGCAGCTATACCCACGTACTTCACCTTGCGCTAACCCAAAGCTGCTCGATTTCTTAACTGAAAGGCCATATAGATTATACTACAGCAGCGTGACACCATAAATCCTGCATGCAATTCCTTATTAAACATCAACACTGAGTTCCTTTAAAAAAAACATATAGAGACTATGCCCAGAAGGACACAGCCAATCTCACGTGGAGCGACTCAGCTGAGGAGCTACAGGCAGGGTCCAAAGAGGTTATTAATCCCCATCCACACCAGATTCTCGACAGTACACTTCACACCCAATTTGCCCAAGTGCTCAAAATTTCATTCGAGGACTTTCCACTAACGCAGAAAACCATCACCTCCGATGTGTGCAGAGGATCATCTAGGGCAATACTACTGCAGTGGGGAAGAGGAAATCCGCTTAAGAGTCAAGATTAACAAAACCAGGAATTGAGAGACCTGCAAGAGAGCAGAGGTACTGCAGAGCACATTAGCAGTACCTGTGTGAAAGCCAGAGGCCTTTGAGCAGCCACACCACAGGCTTCTGGAACCTGCCTTTTTCCAGATCAACTTCCGACAAGACAAGCACGTTATGTGGTAAATGCAACTGAAGGAATCCATAGCGTTTCAGCCCAAGGTTCTTCTGCAGCCTACCACGTGTAGCTCCCTCAGCTGTAGATTACATGAGTAGCTCGCTCTCTCATCTGAAATCAGCCTTCACAGATTAGTACACTGAGGGGAAAACCCACACAGGGACAACGGAGCTACATTCGATGGCAGTGTGTTGAATCAAGCGTGAAAACAATTTGCATCACTAAAACATTTTATGCTCCATCTTCAAGTAATATGTTTTGGAATAACAGACAAAGGTTTACCTACCGATGCCATAAAAGCTGCAACTGCCGTATACCCGAAATACAGGCAGTTACAGGGATGGTGGTATTTTGGGGGTGGGTGGCAGGGAGGAAATCAAGCCAGACAGTTATAGTGAAACTGCACTTTTCAAAACTGCGTGAAAAGAAACGCTTGGATTTCACAGAGCCTACGTACATACATGCAGCCACTTCTTCCCCTCGCACACCCCTGAATGAAAAGCTACTCTCTACACCAACAGAGAACACGGCAGATTCAGGAAACTGAACTAAAGGCAGCAAGTCTGACAAAAGCCCATTACCCGCTGTATCTACCGACAGCTATTAGAAGTGGGCTACGCTGCAAGTACTTACAACATATCCAGTGTATGGGGGGGAATATTTAAAAAGCCTCTGTACCTCAACCAACGAGCAGACATACAGCCAGCACCAGAACAACAAAAACGTAAACAGCCGGCCAGCTTTGCACTGCTGCTCTTCAGAGTAGGCTACAGCTTACCTCCAGCTTGGCCTCGCTACTGCCCAAATAGCTTCCTCCCCATGCCGCCTGCCAGAGAAGGCAGAAAGACCTGAAGCTGTTGTACGTGACACACTGGCAGCACAGGTAACCTGAACAGACCTCCAACTCCCATCCAGAGCAGCTCTGATCCAGTCTGAACACTACACGTTAGGAAAAGCTGAATCCTCCTGTCGAGAGGACAAGCGGGCTGAACAACCAACTCTTCTTTTACAGCCCTTCTCAGTTTTTAACCCTCAGTGCAGTGCCCTGACCCAATGCACTGTCAAAAGACTGAGCAAGGGGACACGCGCAGGGCACAGCATCTTCTACTGCTCTCCAAAACTACACGCAGCCAACAATCCTTAGCTGGTAAAGACAAGACACTGCGTATCACAGACCGCTTCTATCTGCTTCTTGAGATGTCTGCACTGATGCAACAGTGGCACGCTTGGGCCTCACGGCATTCTCCACCTGGAGAAAAACAAGTTACAGAGCGTAACAGCAAGCACTACTGTTATCCCCGCAGCCAACAGGCACTCGGCTTGCGGTAAGGACAGCAGGCAGCTTGATCTTTGGGTTATTAAACAAAGCTCTGTGAATTAATTACAGGCTCTGTTTATGCCTTGGCAGACATAAACATGGCAGAACGAGGGGAGAAACTGATAACAAAGGAAAAAACAAGTCGTATATGCCTGTTGCACAGCTCGCCAAGCTTGGCTGTCTGACACAACCTTCCATGGTACGCCGATTCTCTTAAATCGTAAGGAGCAAGTCGACTAAAGATCACCACTTTCAAAATGAAGTCCACATTCAGCTGATAAAGCTGGAGGCTGCTTCTGAGCTCCTCTGCTGGTCGGTATCACGTTGGGTTTCGCACCTCGTTGTTTAATAGCTGAAACGGACCTTAAACGCTGTCACAACTGATGACAGTACACAAAAAGGCCACGCACCCAAAGGACAAAGTGACCCTACGCTTTACCTCTGGTGTAAGATACCACAGAATGACATCTTGCAGTCCCACAGGAAAGCAACACGATATCCCACTAAACTGTGCAACAGCACAGCTTTACAAACACACAGATTTTATTCTTTTTCAATCAGTTATCACGACAATGATTTCCCCGCCAAGAACCAGCATGATTTAGGCCAAGCACCCTCGCCCTTCGTATTCATTTCTTTAGGAGGCTATCTAAAGCTGCAGTAATCACGCATTTGAGTCAGAAATGACCTTCCTATTCAGAACTGGGAATGAAAACATTTTTAGCATAAGCATCCATAATATTATTACTCATTCGCTGTGAGCTGCAGAGCGCCATTTCCACTCACTATAGGTATTCTGTTAGGTACTACAGCGTGCCACTTTATCTACAACCCAACAGAAAGACTGTTTAATGAGAAGTCTAGACTTGGAATTTTCTCCTGTTTCTGTAGCAAAAGAAACTATTTCAGGAACAACATGCTAGCCCAAAACTTCACAACTACAAATTCATAGGAGCGATCCAGGCTATCACTATACAGTTTCTGAGTCCAGTTACACAAACCATACGTTACAGTGTGGCAAACAAGTGAAAAAGCTTTACTCCCACATTATTTAGAGCTAGACAGACATACACAGTAGGAAGGGATATTTTCAGTTTTGTTTTCAAATGCCAATAGAAAGAAGAAACATGACCCTACTTTTACAAAAATATACTGAAGAGAAAATGAGTGCTGCTAGCGAGGGGAGGGAGAAAGAAGGGCAACAGTTAGAAAAATGGAGGTTTTAAGCTGGTTTTACTGGATCTAGACTCATTACAGCTTTCCCTCCTCAAAGAAACATGTTTACTGCTGAACATTATTCCAAGAAAAAAACAAACCAAAACAAAAGCTGCTGTACATTTAGGTAAAGCAGTGCTGTGCATCTACAGAGCTTCCCATCCCGCTCCGCCCACCCCCACCTGAAAGGATTTAATCTACCCTTTGTTCATAACTTACTGGTAAAGTAGGAAAAGCAGCAGCATCCTCTCCTTCAATTTCATAGAAAATTATCCTTTCTTCTGGCCCCTGAGGCTCCTCGCCATTCCCTGGTACAAACCCATACTGACATTCCTTATTGACACACTGCATCTGACGGTGGCTACGGCTGTACGAGCTTGAAAAACAAGAAAGGACGTTAAGAATCACCACTGTCTGGAGTTTCACCTTCGTTTCATTGCTCCATTTTAACTCTGTTCTTTTTGGAGAGGCACAACAAACCCATTGTTCCAGGCTGTGCCACGAACAGCCAACTCAGCCCTCCACACACCACCGTCCTCCCCAACTCTTTCACAGCAACGTTTCGTAAAGAGGTTCATAGTCACTTACCAGGACCTGAAGGAGAAATTGTCATAGCTCTGATAGCATCTCTTTCCTGGACTGGGGTAGAAAGCTATCTGAGGGCCAACCATGTTGTGCCTGTTTATAAATCGGGCAGATCCCCTAAGTTTAAAGGGTAAAAGGTGCAATTACCAGGAAGTGACTCTCAGATGGAACTCAGTTGTAGTTTTACCTATTAAATAGCACAAACTCTCTATTCATTCTCGCTGCAGACTAGTTAGGAGAAAACGAGTGGTGATCTCAGACAGGTTTTCAAGGCTTCCTACCTTGGCATCCCAAATCCACGGTTATGCCTCTGAGGAGGATTCTGAGGATGATAGGGTTCATAAGGTGCCATGTTTCCACCACCCTGTGAGCAGTAAACTGGAGGAATGTCCCCCTCACCGCTACCAAAAATAAGGTAGAAATAACTGAATGTGATACCTGACAAAGTGGCAACACTGGCAAGCAAAACTGAAATCCAGTTCATACCCAGAGCATTTCTGCTTCAGACTGACCACTACACATCAGGACAAGCTGAATGATGCTACCGCGAGGACAAGCAAGCTTAAAACCCAAGTTTTCTTTTACAGCCCTTACCTGTGTCTCAAGAGGAAAATTAACTTTAGGAAACAGGGGGACAAGGCAGCTCCCTTGTACCTCTGACTTCTGAAATGATCTTTCTAGAAAAATGCGTGGCATTGATGTGTAAAGGTGACAACCCAAAGCAGAAACCTGCAAATTCAGGGGGAAACTGTCCCATTCAAAACATGAAAGCAAGAAGCCAGTAACAGAGTTACAACTACTGTTATGTCATTTTAAGACAAAGCAAGTGATACTTCGGTTTAAAAGCCTTTTAACATTTGTCTTGGAGAGGTAGGAAAAAAATAAAAATGGGAGGGGAAGATGTAACCAAGAACTCAGACATCCAAGTCCATAGCCACTGTATGTACACTCTACCTGGCCTCCCTATAGAAAGGGGAGATACTATGACTGGCTGAACTGCTGTTTGTGAGGAAACTGCTGTTGTGACACTGGCTGGAGTGGAGGCAGCAGAATGTGAGGAGAAGCCTGTAGCTGGAGCAGCATAAACACCTGCTGAGATTGAGATTGCTGCAGAGTTCACCATCACCTGGAAAAGAGTCAGAGTATTCAGTAGACTGCCTCTACAAAGTAGTAAAGATTTTTTTAACAAAGTGTGTTATGTGGTTTTTAGGGTCTCCTGCACTGAGCCGGCATAACCTGCACCTGTGCCCTCGTTTGTGGCCCCAGGACAGGGCTGTGTCACCAGGACCACAGAGGGCTGTGGGCAGGGCCCTACTCGCACCCACTTCTTGATGATTTTGCATGTACAGTGCAAGTTGCTATCAAGGACAGAGCCTGCGCGCTCAGTCTTCTGAAGGAACTGCAGTTCATGTGCCCAATGCTTTCCTCCTAAACTGATCACCAAAAACATAGCTAGAGCTTTCCACTGTGCTTCATTCTCACACTGAAAGCTTTTGCTGCTTTCTCACTGAAGGCTGGAGCAGCTTTATCCCACACAAGAAAACTACATTTCTTCGGTCCAGGCTGTTGGATGACTAATTGTCAGGAACATAACCTGCCAGTGATAAACGACCACTCATTTTCCTGTGTTCAATGCTTTATTTTGTACTGTCAGTGCAAATTAAACACCAAGACTACCACCATTTGTGCAACAGCTTTCACAAAACAAATCTTACAAACATACAGCAATATACAACAGATGAAAACAGCATTCTTACACTTTGAAGAGTAATGAAGCCTGTGCAGAATGAAGTTAGACAAAAAACAGCTATTAGTAGTGATCACTAATGGTAAAGTTTTGTTTTGCGAAATCTGAGAAAGCCAACCTATTTTAACCATTTTCATCCTCTAATAACCCTATGCCCAATTTTTATCTGTAATTCTAATGGAAGCCTATTTCATTGCTTAAACAAGAAGCAGGTGTCTGAGTGTTGCAGTGCAACCCCTCAGAATTAGATTATGCATACTTCCTCTGATGATAGTATGGTTTTAGACATACTTTATGTAGTCAAATTCAAGCTTTGTGTTCCCTCCACTATAGTTTGAATATACTCTCCCTATGCTTTCTGTGTAATTGACTAAAACACCTTGTCAAGTCAACTATCACAAGCATAAATGCGAAGAGAAAAGTGAAATTTGAATGCAGTTTAATCAACTGACACAGCCCACTAAGACACGATAACATTTACGAAACAGTATTTACGTAGAGTTGACAAACAAGAAACAAGAGAAACCAAGGGAAAGAAGTGACCTTACAGCTCCCAGGTTTACATTCCTTGAGGCACGTCATGAGGGTTAGGTGAGGCAATATAGCTGACTTGGTGCACTGGTCCAGAACTTACAGCATTCGCAATTTGAGGAGAATTTCCATAGGGTGGATTTACAGGATGCCAGGTACTAACATAGCGATAGGCAGGTACTAAAGAATCAAACCCAGGAAGAGGTTGCTGGCTGAAGGGGTCCGACATGACTGGGTAATATACTGGCCCGTAGGACACCGGTGGAGGCTCTGCATTTTGAAAGTTACCTTAAACAAAAAAAAAAAAAAAAGAGGATTAACAAAATACACATGCTTACCGTGTTTTACCGTACCTATGGCCTTTTTATGCAGACCTTCATTACCATGAACACAGCATTATTTTGGCAGCCAAGAGAGAAAATACACTCAGGTGACAATTTTATGCCCATATATATCGCTCCTAACGGAGGGTGCCAAATAATGTTGGGTCCTAAGTTAGACTAGAGGACAACTTGCTCATCTTCTCACTAAACCCTGTTCAAGAATTGCTTAGCAGCATCCTGCCAAGGATTGGCAGCTTTTTCTTCAAGAGCCACTCAGGTGGAGAGCTAATACATTCTTCCCCTGGGTGATCTCTGACACTGATCTATGCAGAACCACCACCCGAGCTGAGCAGGCTGAAGCATCGGCTGAGCAATAAGCCTGTATAGCTCTGAGCAACAGCACTGTTATGATGCGCTCCTGCCATGTTCCATAGATTTTAATGAGCTAGGCATCTGACCTTTTAACATCCTTTTCCTCATTTAATACCATCCCCCCTATTTACTGCCAAGTGTATCTACAAGCTTGTTACAAAGCTGCTAGCTGAAATTAAGTTTTGCTGTAAATTTTATGCACAGCAAGAGACACGGCTAGCAACACGGACTATGCAAGAGACAACAGATCAGCTTGCTAAGCCTAAAATTAAGGTTTGTAACATCTTCCTCTGAAAAATTCCCATGGAGTTGAAGAACTGAATCTCAGTGCTTGCCCAAACTCAGTTGTCTCCTTTGCTGTCTTTAAGCAGGCGTTCTGCTTTCATAACATGACTATTTGCATCTCGGTAAACAAAGAGATTCCTTCACAGATGGTGGAGCAGTCACACTGAAAACCTGCTCCCTCACCTCCCATTAGTCGTGTATGTGGTCTTACACTCCAGTACTAACCGTTGGCAGGGGCTTCCACCAAGGGAACCTGGTGGACGTCAGTTCGCCCAGCATCAGTGTAGACCTGAGGTACCGACTGGTCTAGGACAGGAGCTGGATCAGGATAGGCTGGATAAACTTCCACAGGCGATGGTGGCAGCACTGGCTGTACATACACCATGGAAGGCCAATAGCTCTGATGATAATACTTTGAGAAAAGACAAAAATACAAGGTCATGCGTATAACCACATACTCTTCCCATCCCTCCTTCAAATTACTACTCATTTCACGTCTAAAGTTTGGAAGAAGTGCGTTTCTAGCTACCTAGTCCCTTAAGATACTACACACACCAAGAAAACCCCTACAGCCTACTGGAAAAGATACAATACCTGTGGCAACACTGCTGTCGTGTCAGAAACCTTCACAGAGAAAGAAGATTCCTACCTATCAACTTTGTCATATTCAAAGAAATTTCTCCTATTTCTTCAGCTGAAGCTGTTGTGACTTCTTGTGCTTCCCTGAGCAACAGCACAGACAGTGCCTATGACTGCTGGTGCAGGGACAACTCGTCAGCTGAGCAAGGACTCCCAGAACACAGAGATGGTGCTAACCAGTCTGAACACAGATGTAAAGTCCTAGAAGCCTCAAGCCACACATCTCTAAATGGCCTTTAATGTCAAAGTACACAAATTTTCTTAAGAATGGTGCAGATGCCTCCCCTTACCTTCACAGAGAGAACAATATTTATCCACTATCCTCCTCAGAAACAAAAGCAAAACCAAAAAACCACCACCACAAGTCAAAGAAAAACAACCAAACAGACATACTAGTGTGCTTCACATGTTAAGTTAGAACTTCCCTTCCTGAGCTATACCTTCACCTCCACCAAGCAAGCCTGTATGTATTAACAGTCAAGGGCACAGGATGCGCATTTAGCACACTCGAAAGTCTTAAATCCATCAGTACTTTTGTCAAGAAAAACAGCACTTTTTACAGGCAGTTTACTCATTTTAAAAGCACTTACTTGCAATCCCAGATTAAAATAATACCGCAAGACTTTTGTATCTGAAATTAAAGGATATGACATTAAAGAGCAAAAGAGTATAAACTGAGAAGCAAAAGAAATTTACACATACTAATAGCATTTTCTTTTCAGTTACTTATTAATGAATGAGAGTATTTTAGCACTGCATTTTCTTTAAAGCTTTGAGGGTAAAGAATATATCTTGAATAGAAACAGTTGTTAAAGCTAGTTTAGTTTTTTATGTTAATCCAATTAGATATTTGAACAACATTAGAGCATTTGTCCGACCAACTTATTAGCAAGCTTCAACTATTACACTGGCTGTAATGTTGGTTTATTCATCTTGATCGCTCAAGTGATAATTGTCAGTGTGGTTACAAGTCTCCACTGTCTAAGCAATTAGGCCCCAAGCAATTCTGCCTTCCTATTAAGGCTGGGTGTTTAGAGAAAAGAAGTATTTTATCAAGTAAGAATTTGATTAAGAACTCCTAAATTAAGTTGACCACAAAAAGCACTCCCTCCCTTCCTCACTACAGAAATGAGAAAGTGTTTGGAAGCAAGCAGCCAGGCAGGAGGAGCCTTCTCATACAGCAGTGACAATCCACTGCCAATGTACACACATAATACATACACTGCACATATATTGCAAATACCCATACTGGGCTGGCATGCCAGACAACGGGAAGCTTCATAGACACTCCAGCTTCATATCGCTTCTGCCCGGTGTAAACTCTGCCAGCATCTCCCATCTTTAGACCTTTCTTGACCAATGACAATAGAGACACGTCAATGGGAACAAAGTATGCAGTGATCCTAAGAACAGCTGACCTAGCTCTGTGGGTCCCCTCAGTTGGTTTATCAGGTCAGAAAATGGAGGGGGGGGAGGAATAAAGAATCCATTCCTTCCTTCCCCCCTTCCTCACAAGGCTGCTCAGTTCCCTGCTTTCTCAAAAAGTAGTCTCTGACTTCTGTCTTCCATGTACTGAAGAACTTGCTCCCAGGCAAATACATGATACACCGAGAAGCAATCCCACATGCATGGAGGAACTTTGAAACCACTCTCCAAAAACAACAGGGGTTTGAACTTGGAAACACATTCCCAGCTGTCCACAAACACTGAATGTGTTTTGAACCTTTAAAGATGACCACTGAAAGAAAAAAAGAGCGCCCACGGCTTAATCGTACCATGCAGTTCTGGAACTGTGCATGAGAAAAACTGCTGCTTTCTCAGATCCAACAACAGATTTCTTTTATAGGCTCAGGAGGAGCAAGTAACCTATTCCACAGCAGTAGGTTTGCGTGTGCGTGCACACACGCAGACTTCGCTATAGCACTGCCGGGAGCTGAAGGGGAAAGCAGAGACACAACTGAAAAGCAGCAAGCCACTACAGCCTTCAACTTCAAAACACCTCCAGCGTTACCATACCTACCATCTTCTTAGCACTTCCCCCCCAGACCAGGGCCTTGGCTCCACACTGCTCCCCTGTCCACCCATCTACCACACGCGCACACGTTCCAGGCCCTGCTCCGCTACGATACCGCGTGTCTGATCTTGCTGCAGATAGGCACAGCGTCAGAAATGAAAACCCCAGCCTTGAAAAGCACGAGGACCTCTTCCTCTGTTGCTCTTGCCAAGCCTCAACTCTTTCACTGCTCAGCATATTTCATCAGGGCAACAACAATCCACACAGCTATTTCAGGAAGTGCACGCAGATCCTTCCTTACACCCAACAGCTGTAAGCTGACTCCCAAATGTGCTGGTGATTTGGCTGTGACACTGACCACACTCACTCCAATATTAAAAATAACCCAGAAGCTCACTGAAATGCCAGCTTTTCATCAGCTAGCTGAAACGGCATCTGCGTTTGGAACAAGTTGCCTTTTCCCGCCCCCCCCCCCCCCCCCCCCCATTTAAATCTGATTTCGTTCTTCAATTGTTTATGCAAATCTATGCAAAACAAGCCTAAGAGCTGAATGAAACAGCTGCTTCATAGCAGCAGCGATAACAGCACAAAGGAAGAGCTGGGAGACTGAAGTGACAAACTGATACTGGAAATACTGACGTCTGTGGAATGCTGGAACAGAAGCCAGTACAGTAGCAGACCAGTTTTTGTTTATACTCCTCCCTAAGATGCCTAGAAATCAAGTCAATCTTCAGTAAAACACAACTACCCTACAAAGCAACAGCTAAGCCAAAAAGAGTTAACCAACCTGGCACAAAAACATAAACACCCAGTGGACTACTGATACCATCCTCACCCTACAGTGCATGAGGGCAAAAATCACAATCAAATTTTCACTGTGCTGGTGGGAAGCCCTGGTCGATCCTGAACACTACTGCAGCCCCTGGAACACAGTACTAGCAGGCAGTCTTTTATCAACGGCTCCTTCAAACACGAGGGAGCTGGCAAGGCCGGGACACCTGAGGTTCACCATGGAAATAAACACGTTTCTCAAGCCCAAAGCTCCATTGCAAAAAGATCCAAGAGACTCTGAAAATTGGAACTAATGCAGGCGTAACAAGTAATGCACCAAGGCACGTGGCAGGTTGTCCTCCCAAGTCCAGGACTGCACTCTGCTCACAAGTCACACTCCCAATCCAGACACCGGGCCTGCAAGTATCCAGAAAAGTGCACGCAACTCCAGGGCAGCTATACCCACGTACTTCACCTTGTGCTAACCCAAAGCTGCTCGATTTCTTAACTGAAAGGCCATATAGATTATACTACAGCAGCGTGACACCATAAATCCTGCATGCAATTCCTTATTAAACATCAACACTGAGTTCCTTTAAAAAAAACATATAGAGACTATGCCCAGAAGGACACAGCCAATCTCACGTGGAGCGACTCAGCTGAGGAGCTACAGGCAGGGTCCAAAGAGGTTATTAATCCCCATCCACACCAGATTCTCGACAGTACACTTCACACCCAATTTGCCCAAGTGCTCAAAATTTCATTCGAGGACTTTCCACCAATGCAGAAAACCATCACCTCCGATGTGTGCAGAGGATCATCTAGGGCAATACTGCTGCAGTGGGGAAGAGGAAATCCGCTTAAGAGTCAAGATTAACAAAACCAGGAATTTAGAGACCTGCAAGAGAGCAGAGGTACTGCAGAGCACATTAGCAGTACCTGTGTGAAAGCCGGAGGCCTTTGAGCAGCCACACCACAGGCTTCTGGAACCTGCCTTTTTCCAGATCAACTTCCGACAAGACAAGCACGTTATGTGGTAAATGCAACTGAAGGAATCCATAGCGTTTCAGCCCAAGGTTCTTCTGCAGCCTACCACGTGTAGCTCCCTCAGCTGTAGATTACATGAGTAGCTCGCTCTCTCATCTGAAATCAGCCTTCACAGATTAGTACACTGAGGGGAAAACCCACACAGGGACAACGGAGCTACATTCGATGGCAGTGTGTTGAATCAAGCGTGAAAACAATTTGCATCACTAAAACATTTTATGCTCCATCTTCAAGTAATATGTTTTGGAATAACAAAGGTTTACCTACCAATGCCATAAAAGCTGCAACTGCCGTATACCCGAAATACAGGCAGTTACAGGGATGGTGGTATTTTGGGGGTGGGTGGCAGGGAGGAAATCAAGCCAGACAGTTATAGTGAAACTGCACTTTTCAAAACTGCGTGAAAAGAAACGCTTGGATTTCACAGAGCCTACGTACATACATGCAGCCACTTCTTCCCCTCGCACACCCCTGAATGAAAAGCTACTCTCTACACCAACAGAGAACACGGCAGATTCAGGAAACTGAACTAAAGGCAGCAAGTCTGACAAAAGCCCATTACCCGCTGTATCTACCGACAGCTATTAGAAGTGGGCTACGCTGCAAGTACTTACAACATATCCAGTGTATGGGGGGGAATATTTAAAAAGCCTCTGTACCTCAACCAACGAGCAGACATACAGCCAGCACCAGAACAACAAAAACGTAAACAGCCGGCCAGCTTTGCACTGCTGCTCTTCAGAGTAGGCTACAGCTTACCTCCAGCTTGGCCTCGCTACTGCCCAAATAGCTTCCTCCCCATGCCGCCTGCCAGAGAAGGCAGAAAGACCTGAAGCTGTTGTACGTGACACACTGGCAGCACAGGTAACCTGAACAGACCTCCAACTCCCATCCAGAGCAGCTCTGATCCAGTCTGAACACTACACGTTAGGAAAAGCTGAATCCTCCTGTCGAGAGGACAAGCGGGCTGAACAACCAACTCTTCTTTTACAGCCCTTCTCAGTTTTTAACCCTCAGTGCAGTGCCCTGACCCAATGCACTGTCAAAAGACTGAGCAAGGGGACACGCGCAGGGCACAGCATCTTCTACTGCTCTCCAAAACTACACGCAGCCAACAATCCTTAGCTGGTAAAGACAAGACACTGCGTATCACAGACCGCTTCTATCTGCTTCTTGAGATGTCTGCACTGATGCAACATTGGCACGCTTGGGCCTCACGGCATTCTCCACCTGGAGAAAAACAAGTTACAGAGCGTAACAGCAAGCACTACTGTTATCCCCGCAGCCAACAGGCACTCGGCTTGCGGTAAGGACAGCAGGCAGCTTGATCTTTGGGTTATTAAACAAAGCTCTGTGAATTAATTACAGGCTCTGTTTATGCCTTGGCAGACATAAACATGGCAGAACGAGGGGAGAAACTGATAACAAAGGAAAAAACAAGTCGTATATGCCTGTTGCACAGCTCGCCAAGCTTGGCTGTCTGACACAACCTTCCATGGTACGCCGATTCTCTTAAATCGTAAGGAGCAAGTCGACTAAAGATCACCACTTTCAAAATGAAGTCCACATTCAGCTGATAAAGCTGGAGGCTGCTTCTGAGCTCCTCTGCTGGTCGGTATCACGTTGGGTTTCGCACCTCGTTGTTTAATAGCTGAAACGGACCTTAAACGCTGTCACAACTGATGACAGTACACAAAAAGGCCACGCACCCAAAGGACAAAGTGACCCTACGCTTTACCTCTGGTGTAAGATACCACAGAATGACATCTTGCAGTCCCACAGGAAAGCAACACGATATCCCACTAAACTGTGCAACAGCACAGCTTTACAAACACACAGATTTTATTCTTTTTCAATCAGTTATCACGACAATGATTTCCCCGCCAAGAACCAGCATGATTTAGGCCAAGCACCCTCGCCCTTCGTATTCATTTCTTTAGGAGGCTATCTAAAGCTGCAGTAATCACGCATTTGAGTCAGAAATGACCTTCCTATTCAGAACTGGGAATGAAAACATTTTTAGCATAAGCATCCATAATATTATTACTCATTTGCTGTGAGCTGCAGAGCGCCATTTCCTCTCACTATAGGTATTCTGTTAGGTTTCCATGGAGCACAGAAGTCAGAAGTTTGCCAAAGAGCAGCAGTGGTAAAAGCATAAAATACCGTTGTTACCTCGAGGCAGATCACTGCCACTGGGATCACAAGAATAAGGTGGAAGAACGGCACCAGCTTCTCCCACCTCACTGACTGGAGGAAGAGGAGTGGAATAAATTGGGAATGGCACTGAGGACACAGCTACAATTAGAAAGAAACAAAAGTCAAGTCAAATTTGCAGTGGCACATAACACGAGCAAGATGCTAAGTTACACAATTCAGCATGCACTGCTCGGTCACCTCAGTGCCTCTAAATACAAGCTTTAACAAGGTCCTTCTAGCAGTCAGTTAAAGTCCAGAAGAAATCTTAACACCAGATTGGAAGGTTCTAATTGCGCAAGCCTTAACTGTATGACTACGTGCAAGCTTCATATTCCAGTTAAGAATAAATGTCTTTTGCAATCATTTCTCTGTACTAGAAGGCAGACCAGACTTTCCTTACATAACTCTCTGTGCTAGTGATTAGTCTGTTGCTTGTTTTAAGTCCTCATTATTGCGACAAGCCCACAAAAGTAGGGGAAGGTTCAAGACATGTCACAACAAAAATATTTTAGACAGACTATTGTTAAATATTCATTAGGTAGCCCTCACCTCTAAACACACCAGCAGGTTATTTGTAATGGCATCAGCAAGCAGACAGTTTAGAGAACTTTGAATGGAGAACAGGGAGACAGAATTGAGCAGAACCGAAGGTGGAAGGTTTTCCATATGCTAAATGAAGAGTTACAGAAGACATGAAAAGTCCTCTTTATAAGAAGGTTAAAATGATTTTTGTTTAACGGACTTTTCACAAGAACAAAGGAGAAACAGCATTTCAAGTGGCAAGAGCACCACGTTAAGTTACAACTACTGTTATGTCATTTTAAGACAAAGCAAGTGATACTTCGGTTTAAAAGCCTTCTAACATTAGAGAGGTAGGAAAAAAATAAAAATGGGAGGGGAAGATATAACCAAGAACTCAGACATCCAAGTCCATAGCCACTGTATGTACACTCTACCTGGCCTCCCTATAGAAAGGGGAGATACTATGACTGGCTGAACTGCTGTTTGTGAGGAAACTGCTGTTGTGATACTGGCTGGAGTGGAGGCAGCAGAATGTGAGGAGAAGCCCGTAGCTGGAGCAGCATAAACACCTACTGAGGTTGAGATTGCTGCAGAGTTCACCATCACCTGGAAAAGACACAGAGTATTCAGCAGACTGCCTCTATAATTGGCTTTGACAAAGGCTATGGAAGTATCACAGAGTTCAACAATTCTCACTTCACATAAACGCATTTCAGAAGCCTTAGCTGCAAAGGCAGCTAACTATCCCCATTCTCTAAAACACCAGGTTAGAGTTGCAGACACCTGCAAGGCATTTTCTCACCCTTCTGTTTTGATTATATTTCCAGGGAATTGTGCTCTTTGATACAAGATGCTCTAAGGAGCATCCCTTACATCCCACAAACTGACACTAACCAAGCAGAGTGGTCACCTCTCCACAGGGCTACCATATTCAACTACTAGATACTACCTTTGGGGGATAGTCATAGGAAGGCACTCCATCTTGAGGTGACACAGAGACTGGCCCTTCTTCCTGAAGGGATTCCAAAGCAAAGCATGGTCCATTTAGGAGGCAAAGAAGTCACACGGCACACACACTACACCCCCAAAATTTTTTATTTATTTATGGATTATACACACATAGAGGATCTTTTGTAACTCGAGTAAAAGCAGTTTTATTTTGACATGCACAAGACTGGCTTTCACACCCATTGTAGACCAGTAGGTGACTAAAGATTTAGTTTCAGATTAAAAAAAAAAAAAAAAAAACAAACCCCACAGAAACTCCAAAGTCAGTTCTATCAGAAGTGAGATCTGTCCAGTCCCACAGTGGCAGAAAAAGACTAACTGGAATAGGGCTGGAAGGGTAGCATGATAAAAGCAAGTGCTGTCTGCAGTAGAAAAATAAGAAAAGTAAACAGCACTCAAATATACACTTTCTCTTAGCAGAGGGGAAGGTGGAAAGCCATTAATGCTCCTAAGACAATTCAGACTGTACTTACAGACTCAGACAAAAACCTCACTATTTAGGGAGGGTGAATGTATAAATTAAACCATCATTCCTTTCTTCCAAAAGAAGTCTCTGACCTACTACATTAAGCCTGCATCCAAGGTCACTTTCTATGAAGAATGCCACATGCTTCAAGGATTCATAATCTGAACAGACAGTGACTAGAGCTTACCAAGCTTGCTGTACGTTCTGCTGAACTAAATACTGTTGCAGCTTCACAGTCGGGTTCTGGAGGCCACAGGCAAAATTAGTTGAAAAGAGCAGCATGAAATTTAGTCCTTCAGAAACTTATAAAAGGGTCATGAGTGCATTACATTGAGTCTTCTATCAGTAAAGACTCATAGGGTTTACTTACCTGAAGGTGCATAGATATATTCTTCATGAAATTTCCCTACAAGGAAGAGAACAGGAAGCTTTGTTTCAGGGGGGAAAAAAGCAACCCAGAAACAAAAAAACAAAACACACACTGAAAGGAACCAAACCTTAAAGCTGAAGTTACTTCAATTACATTTCAGTGCATCCATTAATGAACTGCTTTCAGTATCATTTTGCTTTGTGCAGAAAAGGTAGATAAACACTCAAGATATGTTCATTTGGTTATTCCACCAAGTATCAGGGGTGCCATTAACAAATTTACACCATGCATTTTTAACCAGCATTTTGGCTCACTACAGAGCTACACAATCACAGGGGTAATGGCACAGCAAGTTTAAACAGGTAACATGTTTCTATCAGACAATGAAGAAAAATAGCATGATCACAGGTGTGTTCAAAGCTCACAATAAACAGGTATTTACAAGATACAGAAAACCTATTTTGACAAAAGGACACTGGAGATCTTCTAAACCTGTCTTTTTCTCTTTGCTCACTAATCCTTTAAGAACTCACCATTTTCACTTGTTTCTTCCTCCTCTGAGGAACTCAGGATTGGCTTGTTAGGTGGAACAGAGTTTGGGCCTCTCCTTGGTACCCAAAATCCTGCTGGACCATGGACAATGGGAGCAGGGCTACTCTGGCTCTAAAAAGCAAAAAGTCAGAAATGTGCGGTTAGAAATAGTGCGAAACTTTTCCATGCTCTACACACACAGCAGAAACAGGCTGGCAGATCAAGAGTGTTGCAACCAAAACTTAATTCTTTAACATTTGTGTGTCTGCTCCTATGTACCTTGATTGCAGCAAAGCAGTTGCAGACACATTTCTTTTCACTACCTTGTGTTCTGCCTAGCATATTAAGACAATTTATTTTTGAAGACCTATCAGTGTCCTATGTCATACAGTCAAGCTGCTCCCTACAAAAGCTTAGCCAGATTTACCTCGAGCTCAAACAAAGCTGAAAAGGAGGGAGCAGAACCCAAACAGCCAAGACTGCTACCCCCAACATATACTCCTGTGTTTCTCATCCTGGAACATTCCCAGCACACCAACAGCAGATCAGTTCATCCAAATACTCTACTTATGATGGAAAAAGGTTATCTTTAGTCACAATTAGTGAAACCCACAGGTGGCTGCTGGCATAGACACCATCATCTGCACTAACTTGACCCACACATGCAAGCCTGACTCTTCCAGAGAGCAGCACCCATCAAGATTTCCCACAGGACTCCTCTAACACTTCACATGCTCTTTGTCTTTGCACTCAAGTCAGTCCTTAGCTGCACCACAATTTAAAACAGAGTTCTCCGAAGCAGGATTATAGGACTGAGATGCTCAAGTAAAAGAAGTTGATTCACTCTTGTGATGGCTAAGGTGACACTCAAAATTCTCCTCAGAAGACATGGTGACTATGAGATCGATAAAGTGCTCAGAGAGGCTTGTAAGATTTCCAAGGTTGAAGCAGAGGTGGTAAGTCAGAAGATTCTCCCACCAGGCCTCTAGTAGGATGGCAGAGTTTTCTGTGAGATGCATCTTTCCCCAGGAAATGTTATATTCCTTTACTAAACAAGACAAGGAAGAGACAGAGAAAAAGCTTTGGCATTGACAATAACAAAGGCACTGAATGAACATGAAAAACTCTTCATTGGGAGCTGCAGGCATAGAGTCTAGCAATGGGGAGGAAAAGCTAATAAGCTATATTGATTTCATCTTGGAAAAAAACCTGGGGCCTAATCTGTTCTGATTTCTTGACACTCTTAAAGGAAAAGCAGAGCAAAGATTACAGTTCTAGCACATGAGGACAAACCAAAAAATGGCTGCTGCTGAAACAGCCCTGAGCAGATTTTCTCTCTCTCATTTAAATACAAGTCTAACAAATTTTAAAGTTCACTGCTTCAGCATGATAAAAAGAAATTCAAATGTACCAGGGTTTAAAAAAAAAAAAAAAAAAATTGCTTTTCTATTCAAATACCTAAATATCAACTGATTGTAGCATACCTGGCTTTGTACTAGGCTTAGACTAGAAGTAAAAGATTCATTTTCAAGCTTGAGAATACACTGTGCCACTTTATCTACAATCCAACAGAAAGACTGTTTAATGAGAAGTCTAGATTTGCAATTTTCTCCTGTTTCTGTAGCAAAAGAAACTATTTCAGGAACAACATGCTAGCCCAAAACTTCACAACTACAAATTCATAGGAGCGATCCAGGCTATCACTATGCAGTTTCTGAGTCCAGTTACACAAATCATACCTTACAGTGTGGCAAACAAGTGAAAAGCTTTACTCCCACATTATTTAGAGCTAGACAGACATACACAGTAGGAAGGGATATTTTCAGTTTTGTTTTCAAATGCCAATAGAAAGAAGAAACATGACCCTACTTTTACAAAAATATACTGAAGAGAAAATGAGTGCTGCTAGCGAGGGGAGGGAGAAAGAAGGGCAACAGTTAGAAAAATGGAGGTTTTAAGCTGGTTTTACTGGATCTAGACTCATTACAGCTTTCCCTCCTCAAAGAAACATGTTTACTGCTGAACATTATTCCAAGAAAAAAAAACAAAACAAAAGCTGCTGTACATTTAGGTAAAGCAGTGCTGTGCATCTACAGAGCTTCCCATCCCGCTCCTCCCAACCCCACCTGAAAGGATTTAATCTACCCTTTGTTCATAACTTACTGGTAAAGTAGGAAAAGCAGCAGCATCCTCTCCTTCAATTTCATAGAAAGTTATCCTTTCTTCTGGCCCCTGAGGCTCCTCGCCATTCCCTGGTACAAACCCATACTGACATTCCTTATTGACACACTGCATCTGACGGTGGCTACGGCTGTACGAGCTTGAAAAACAAGAAAGGACGTTAAGAATCACCACTGTCTGGAGTTTCACCTTCGTTTCATTGCTCCATTTTAACTCTGTTCTTTTTGGAGAGGCACAACAAACCCATTGTTCCAGGCTGTGCCACGAACAGCCAACTCAGCCCTCCACACACCACCGTCCTCCCCAACTCTTTCACAGCAACGTTTCGTAAAGAGGTTCATAGTCACTTACCAGGACCTGAAGGAGAAATTGTCATAGCTCTGATAGCATCTCTTTCCTGGACTGGGGTAGAAAGCTATCTGAGGGCCAACCATGTTGTGCCTGTTTATAAATCGGGCAGATCCCCTAAGTTTAAAGGGTAAAAGGTGCAATTACCAGGAAGTGACTCTCAGATGGAACTCAGTTGTAGTTTTACCTATTAAATAGCACAAACTCTCTATTCATTCTCGCTGCAGACTAGTTAGGAGAAAACGAGTGGTGATCTCAGACAGGTTTTCAAGGCTTCCTACCTTGGCATCCCAAATCCACGGTTATGCCTCTGAGGAGGATTCTGAGGATGATAGGGTTCATAAGGTGCCATGTTTCCACCACCCTGTGAGCAGTAAACTGGAGGAGCATGCCCTGAGGGAATACGGTGCTGTAGCCGGGGTGGAAGAACTGGTTGACCCCTGCTATAAGCCACAGTCATAAACACTTCCTTTCCACGAAATTTCTTAAGCATTCTCTTCCGTGCTTTCATATCCATTTCTGCAGTTTCAGTTGAGGACAGAAGAGATAGATTTACACCTAAATAGCTGAATCCAGAGCTGTGTTCTCTTTATCATTTGAGAAGGGTCAACATTTGGACACATGGAAAAGAGACAACAGCCTATTCCAGAAAAAGTGCATTTCAAGTATGTAAACTTAATACACTTAATTTGAAGGCTCAAGTAGGCATTCTAAATTACGAGTAGAATATAAGCTTCTCACATATGAATACCTTCCCATCTTCAGCTGAGCAAACCAGTACTCTCATTGTTAAAATCTCTTTACGAAGATTGCATTTATTTATTTAAAAAAAAAAAAAAGTATCTCCAAATTTAAAAAATACAATCCATATTTAATTGGCTGGGGAAGCCCTGGTCTGTACATGCATCACTGCTAAGGCCAAATCAGACAAGCTTTTTGGTTCACAGACCCAGTCTTCACACATGGTTCTCAAGTACCAAACTTCTTTTTGGAAATTTTGAGCAATACCAACTTTTTAACGTATTTTCAAAGGATCTGATCTTTTACAAAGGTAAATTCATCAAGCCCTTGCAGAGACCAAGTTTTATATCACAGGCTGAATTATGTCACTTCCAGTATCCAAAAACTGCTACTGTTAAAACTGTCATAAGCATCTCTCTGACTCCCACCAGCCCTAAGGGAAGGAAAGCTTGTGGTAACGTTGTACAAACCTATTCCTGAGAAGTATCCACCTGTTATTTTCTGATAGGTTCCTCCTCTTCGGCTGGGAACCATATTCCAAGCAAAGACAGGTGCCACTTGTGTCACTGGTTTTAAGTCTGCCAACGGAACTGTATGCCTACATAAAGAACACTGAGGTTAGCAGTGTCACAAGGATACACTTGTGCATAACTGCCCAATAACGTAAGCTGAACCAAAACTAAGATGGAAAATTGAAAAATCCACGAACTTAAAAGAATGTAGGGAACTTGTGGAACTAAAAAAAAAAATTGTTTCTCTGACACCAAGCACATATTACTGTTACTCATTTATTTGAAAAGGTGAGCTAGGATTTAGTCTCGACACCATTGACTTTCTGGGTCAAGTTTTTCTTCCTCCATTTGTATGTGTTCAGTGGTACATCTGAGAGCATATGACAACACAGAATTTTTGCAATATGTCAAGCTGAATTCTAGGTTTGGAGAAGGGTGAATGCTTTGAACAGCAAGGTAGACAAAGTGATTAGACACATCAGAAGTGTCAATCAGTTGTTTGGGTCCAACATAAAAGCTCCAGAGAAAACAACAGTAGAGGGTAATTTGCTATCCACAAATTAAGCCCAAACTGTAAAGATCACTTTCACATGCCAAAGAAAGAGCAGCAGGATTTCACAGAAAGCATTACATTAATGATTTTGGTCATCAGAAATATGAAAGAAAAAAATTCCTGCGACATTCTATTTGAAGAGTGATAGCCAACAAGGAAGCAAAACCTCACTTTATATTTAAAAGCCTAGGTTCTCTTTTCTTTTCAAATTATTTTAACAATCCTATTTTAAGCATCTGGGAATATATAAACTCAACCAGAAGGAGTTCAAACATGAAGTCATCACCAGACTGCTTACTTTTCTGCCAGCTCCTCAACGAATACAGTCAACGTGTTGCCATCCTGTCTGACTTCCTGGATATGAGCATTGTAATACTTACCTCCAGGCTCCAGACGTACCTGGAGAAAGAACAAGGGAAGCTCTAAAAAAGCCAAACTGTATCAGGGGATTCAGAATTACTGTTTACAAACAACTAATAACAAAGGCTGTTGCTAACTGATCCTGTGTTACTGAGCTGGCCCAGGAGTCTCAAATACTTCTAAATAGCAAGCAAAATAAAGATCACTGTACTAACTTCAGGGAGGAAGGGGGGGGAAAAAAAAAAAAAAAAAAAAAAAATATCAGTCTTGTGAGTGACTGAGAGTTAAGAAGATATCTGCTTTCTAACCTATTTTTACACACTGTGCCAAGCAGGTAAGTATCAGGGAAGACCGCATATCTAAGAACTTGATAACAGAAGATAAAACAGGAAATTGGAAGGGAAAGCTGTGCTCAGCTAGAAACAAGTCACTGAGTGATAATACATCAGCACTATGTCAACCAGTGCTGATAATAAGCCCTCACTACATACAGCAATGGAATACAAGGAAAGCTCACCTTCCTTTCAGTATCTCCTGGCTACATCATGCTAATTCTCCCTTTTTAGCTCTTTATTATTTTGTAAAAATGTTTGTTACATTACTGATGAGAAGAAGACTGTCCAGAGTTGTTGCTGACCCCCAGTGAAAAAATCTAATAGACAACTACCTCAAATACACACCCTGTGCATTTTGAGCTCTCAATCTGGAACTTCCACGCTCACAGAATGTATATCACTGGTTCACAACGAATTTCCAAGCAGCTTTTCCTTCGCACTACCCAATGTTTAACGGGAGATTTTAGAAAGAAATTAAATTAGACTCAGATTAATAGCTATAAGGAAGAGAATGACAAAAGCCTTGGAAAATTCTATGAAGTCAAACGATTTTATGGCTTACCATACTCCATTAAAAGTGGTTTCAACAGTTTATCATAACTGAGTCTCCTTTGAGTACTAACCTGACACTTGTCTCCTAAATAGTACTGTCTCCCAGCAAACACCATGTAGTCAGTTTTTTGAAGCTCTAAAAATAAATGAATAAATAAAAAGGGAAAAGCCTTTAAACTACTGTTCTTTCTTCATGTATCCTACAAATACTTCATGACAGCATCCAACTACAAATCACAGGCCATTTGAGTTAAGTATTTCCTATGCATATCTGAACATTCCCCATAGGAATGGTGAAGTAACTGTAGATTTTCTTATAACAGACCATAATCACGCTAAGTCACAGGAGGTCAATAGTATCCAGATAATGCAGTAAGTAACACTACTTCTTCAATACTACAATGTCTTTTGTGATGCTACCAAGTTAATCCTGCAATTAATACCAACGCTGGCATTAATAATGTTGGACATGTCTTGTCTTGCCAGAGTACTGGTGCACTTGACAAAAATCAGATGTTATCCAGGAAGAGCTAACATTGTTTAAAGTCTCCTTGCCGCTAGATTTCAATAGGGTTTCTCTCCATTCCTTGCCTGGATTCTCTGCATGTCAGTAGTCTACATAGATAATTACTCTACTCTGTTCCAAGAATTTTAATGACCCTCATTACTACTTATGCAGTTATAAAATGCTAGAGTTCTTCACCATGCAAAACACTTTAGGTCAGACACCAAACACCACTTCAAAACTAATATTTCTAGGTAACTTCTTGCTTTACAGAGAAGCCATAGTGGATGCCAAAAAGCAGCAACCTATATCAAGCCACGAAGACCATGAAATCTCTCCAGAATGTTCAAGCCCAGGAGAGCTGGGAAGCAAGAGAAAACTCATCATTTGTCAGATCTCAATGCTAAATTTGAGATCTTCATTATTACACCACTCTGAAGCCAAAATCGTGCTTTAAAAAGCAGAAGTCCTCACACACATGCTGCAAGAAAAAACTCAAATGTGAATGATTTTCAATGCAACAGAATGGTAACACATTCTGTACTCTGCTTTGAGTCCTTCTATTTCCTATACTATAGTCAAAAAGTAACAGCGGTCAGATTTTTAGCAACCTTATCACCATTATTCAATGTTGGAAGCAGTGTATTTTGTACTTTGAAAAGAAGCCAAGAAACCAGGTACTAGCAAGATGATGTACTACCTACAAGAATCTACTGGGTTAACCAGCATCCTTCACATTTCAGCTGTGATGAAACAGGTGATACAACTCATTCATAAATTTAACACTGGGCCTAGTACAGAAAGAGCTGGTTTTCCCTTTTTAAAGATACCTTTTCTGATGTCCAACCAAACATCAAACTCCACATTTCGATAAATCTCAGGGTCCAGTGCCTTTAGCACTTTATAAGGAACGGGCATCTTTGATGGATTTTCTAGAGGCTAAAAACAGAGTTGAAATGGAGATTAACAAGTACATTTGTGTTCAGCATAGTCTCTATCCCGCTAGCATCTGTGGACCATTTTAAGATGTACACACCCTATTTTCCAAAATTTTAACTTCCACTATATTTGCCTAAAAACTAAAGCTCAAGAATATGAACGCACATTTAAGCATTCAGAAGCTGAACAGACTATGGAAAGGTTAGGAACAGGGTCAAGAATAACATTTGGCGTGTTCTTTACTCCAAAAAAAGTTGGAGGAAGCTAACCAGACCAACGAAGCCATGGCTAAGTCGGTGGAAATTTCAGTTATTTTATCTGAAAACCGATTTCTATAGGGTTTCTAAAACTGTTCCAAAGTGGTTTATACTCTGTGCAATACAAAAATGGGACTGATTTAAACCATTTCTGGAAAAAACAAAAAGCAGACCAGGAAACATCTGCTAAGCTCCATCCTTGCAGGGGGAAAAAAAAAAATTAGCTAGAGAAGAACATGAGAATTTCAGGAAAGAAAAAGGCTTACCCAATTTAATATAAATTCAAGGGCAAAACCAAAAGAAAAGCAGATGGAAGAATTAAGCCACCCACTTCCCAAAAAGTCATTTTTAAAGAAGTGGAAAAGAAGGTTTAGCCCTAACAAGGGTAACCTCATACAATAACAAAAAACACCAACCACCACTACGAGGAGTTCTTTCCTAACTGTCAAACCTTTTCTTCTCCGATGCCTTGTCTGAATTTATCTTCCTGTGGATTGTCAGTAGCATTGCCTTCCCAGTCATCCACCCTGAATAATTGAAAATAAGATTACAAAAGATATAATGCATTTCTAGCCAGGATTAAAATCAACTGCCCATACAATCTGAAAAAGCACCATGGTGCCATCAAGTGGTACATTTTGCCTTAAACACTAGCCATGACCGTGATGTAGTACAGGACAACCCTTTTCCTAGTTTTAAGAACATGACCTTTACTTGTTCCAAGACCCACCCTTTACTAGGGCTACTGCTTGCATTAGGAAAGGATGAAGATGATCCCACTGACTGATTAAACTCTTGCACTGTCAGGTACAAGACACCCTGTTCTAAATCCTCTCAAACCAGTGTCACCTGCAAGCAGTTAGTAATGGTGAGAGGCATCCCTCAAGCCTTTCTAGTGACTTGAACAACATGGGATTATGAGAGTTTCTGTAAGTACATTTTGTCTGTTCCTCTCATCCCCAGGGATCAAACAGACCTGAATAATGCCACCACCTAATTGTCTATTTGGAGTATAATTCCATTTAAAAAGGGCAAGGAAAAAAAAAAAAAAAAAAAAAAAGAGGAAAAAAAAAAGCAGAGCTCACTTTCTGAATACACTATTGCCTCTGTAGAGCTACAGATGCTTAGAAGAGTTGTAACAGTTTCTCATTAAAAAAAAAAATATTCTGACACCATAAGGAACAATCTTATCTACAAATAAGTTGTCATTTTGCAGACTAATACACAACTGTAGCATCGCCACCAGCAGAGACCCAGCTCCAAGGAAAACACACTTTCTACAATATACTGCAGCTTTGTGGTTGTCATGAGTTATGAAAAAGAGTTAATACCCTGTGACCATTCAAAGAAACCTGGAAAAGTTGCCCTTTGCAAAGTTTTAAATTTTTTTTTTTTTTTGCTTCCATTTTACCACATCCCCTTCCCAAAATGCTACCTCATTTCTGATGGATTTCTGGTTACTTTTTCATGAAGACAATCGAAGTTTGCATCCTCACTTCCTAGAGAGACACTGTTTCTGTTCTTCTTGGATCCACTTCGAAACACCTCAACTGCAGTCCTTAATTCTTCCTCATCCATGCCAAACACATCTTTGTACAGGATCTCATACAATACAGCTGAACAAATCAACACAAAGCTCAAACCAAATTAAGATAATGCCAGACCCGTAAGAACTGCTGCAATTTTCAAGGTAAGCATATCTTCAGATATTATCTACTGTTACAAGGTACTAGTTATATTAAATTCAATTAAGGAGGGAATCATAATATAATGCAGGTGGGAAGAAGGAACCTCTTGAAGTCATTTGGTCCTATACCTCACTTAGCAGACACAACAATGAGTGTACGTATATATTAATATACAATAAATGAGCTTCCATCTCTCTCCTCACCACCCCCAAAGCCCAAAACAAACACTGACTATAAACATATGAAAACACATAATTCTTTTCCATAGAAAACTGATTTTAAATTTACCCTGGCAAACAGCAGCATTTTCCTGGAATTGTTTTGTATAGACAGAGTCATAATGGCCACTGCCGGAACAACACAGTAAAATCTGGGGAAAAAAATAAAAAATAAAAAGGCTGGAATGATGTAAAATCTAACTCCTTTTATCTGATATCCTAGCTCAAGGCTACAGTCAATACCAACTCATTAAGAAAAAAAATATATATTCTCAATGTAAATATGAAAAAGCTGTTGAATCAGCTTAAAACTGAATCCTCTAAAATTTGTCTAGTATACAGAGAAAAACTATCAATTTGTACATTATGCTGCATTAAGAGTTAGTTTCCAGCTTACCTCTGAAACCACCAATTGCTCAAGAGGTAAAATACAAGCAGTACCCCAGAGATACACTGTCCAAGTATCAAAGGCACATTTCACCCTTCCCCACCTGAGGGATTAGAAGAGCATCTACTTCTCTAGCCCTCAACAAAGCCTTGCTTTAAATAAGCAGTATGATGCTGCCTTTTGAAAAGATGCATGCTTTCTGCAACATATGCATTGATACACCAAGTATATGTATACCATCAAACCCCATCTTGGCACATGACCACAGCCAACTGCAACCAGCAGAAGCCCTTCAGCAGCTGTCAGCAGATTGCCAGCAAGGACGCTTCCAAGTGAACCAGCAGGAGCTGGGATGCCAGGGCTCTCAGTTCAGTGGGCACTATGTCTTCTGCCAACACAAGCTCTCGTCTCACAGTGAGAACAAGCAACAGCAGAAAGCTGCTGCCTGTGCATAGGCTAATGACAGACAGCTGCCAACACTTAATGAGAACTCTGGTGGTAAAGCCTTCGAGGACAAACCACATTTAGAGCATGCTTCTCGATTTTTAAAGTTGGCTTATTTTGGAATTACATTAAGCTACATAGGAAACTACACTGAAAAAGAGAGAAGTACATGCAAACAAAGACTAATACTAAGCAACAGAGAAGAACAGCTGCAGCAGTACAGATTTCAGAGCAGACTAGCCACTTCGGCAAATACAGTAGTCCATACTGAAATCCATACCACAGCAACAACCCTGGCATCATGCCTGAGCTAGCCACATCTACATAACTGCAGAAAAAACAATAGGGGTCAGATGGGAGGTAATACAGAGTATTTCTCCTTTATGTTTCTTCTTTTTGCCCCCAGTAGTAATTCTTGTGTAGATAAGCTGTTCCCTTAGCTCCCACTCTTCACAGGGTTCAATTTGTATGTCAGAAATTAATCACTCTGTTAGATTAATCCATTCCCATTAATTTTCCCTTCTCAGGAAGGGAAACTGCACGCCTCATCCAACCTCAGGATGAGAGGCACTAGGGGTGTGGGAGAACACCTTCTCTTTGCCAATATGATAAATATATCTTGTTCTGCTCTGCAATTCAAGCCAGGTATTTCATTCTACCCTGTCAGATCTGTCAGATTCCCACTGGGAAGTATTTTTACCCAATGATATTTCAGAAACATGAAAAAATATTTTGGAATTGGGATGTTACCTCTTCCTGCCAAAATTAAACTTCTTTCCAATAACGAGCTGGAGTAACAAAAAAGATTGGCACAGGAACAGCACGCAATCCATCCCTCAGATGGGAAGCAAAGCTACTATAATCGAGTTAACTGTTCTGCAAAAACCATTCTTTTTCCATGAGCTAAGTCACCTTGGGGTTTTGTTTGGGTATGCAAGAGGACTGGAGTTACAAGAGCTCAATTCCAGTGGCAAGTTTTTACAACTAAGTAGGACTGTAGATAATTAGGATTCGGGGTAGGGGTAGAAAATTGCCTCACTTCGCACCTTGTCTTCAAAGCCATTGTCTGTAGCATAAGTGGATGGCTTTCCAGGGTACCGGTACAGAATAAAGTCTCGCCTAGGTAAGCAGAGGAAAAAAAGATTTGAAAGAGCACACCTTTAGTAGAACCATGTTATGAAGGAGTTTGCAGGGAACTGTTTAGAGAATCCACTGTTCATTTACAGAAAAATCAAGTATAATACTTTTCTGATAAGTGAATGCTACCACACAGCAAAAGCTAGATGAGAAAACAACACTCATCTTAGGGGAAAAAAAAATTATCTGGGAAAGACCATTATATTTAGTCATAGAATAGGGCAGGTACTTAGGCTTACAGTAGGGTGCTCAGACATCGAGACAATTGAGTCTCAGTGATTTAGACACCCTGGAAAAGGATTAGAGCCTCAATACAGGGAACCAGTAACTTGCAAAACTTCAGTTTGTTCCTTTAGTACCGGAACAGAACGAGCCTGCAAAGGCAGAGTTCTTTCTTCTACCACTGGAGAACCAGACTGCTTGTTACAGGATAGCAGCATTCTTAGCAAGACAGCAGCACCTGCACAGGCTTATGTTACCTTTGAAATAAATATCAGGGTTCATGCACCAAGTAGGGTAAGTACTCCTCACTACTGGCTCTCTCAAGAACGCCTACGTAAGTTTCAGTCATGCTTATAACTACCACACAGTGTTTCCACTACACACACCTCCTTGTTTTTTCCCCATTTTCCATCCTTTAGCCACTAGAAGGAAACACTTGACTGAGTTTAACATTAGCAAAAAGAAAACAAATAAACATTGCTGGAAACAGACACGTTCCCCTTAATCCACACTGAGAACATGGGCACATTTCTCACCATGTTTCACAAATTAGTATCTCAGCAACAAACAAATAAAAGGTTATGGGACCAGAACCCAAACACCACCAAGTCCAAAACAAAGTGAAATTTAGAGACACTTACTTGTACATCACTGATAAAGCACTCATTTCCAGCTGGCCAGCACTTTCCTATGCAAGATTATGAGATTACATGAGATACCAGAGCCGTCTTCAACACTGAGAACTTTACTCTAGCTCTCTGTAGTATTAAAATATGTAACCAAACTCATCAGTTTGTTAAAACAACAAATACACTGAGAGTTGAGATATTAGGATGGCCATAATTAACAACTTGAGTAAAGATGGAGCTAGTTCTGGTAGCGACCTTTAAACACATCACCCAAGATATATTTTTTATTGAAACCACATTTGTTTCAGAGACTGCTGCATTCACCATACTTACTGGTTAAAGTCTAAAGAAATAAAAGTTTGAACTCTAGTATTCCAACCTGAGGGTAAAGGAAGAAGCAAGGGATTGCAAAGCCTGTTCAACGTTTGATATGAGGTACACTCCGTGTATTTCACTTTCTCCTTCTTAGAAAAGAACTGCAATTATGAATAAGGCCCACGAGGCCTCAGCTTTACTGTCTAGTCTGAACAGATTGATCCTTTGCATCAACACAAATTCCCCACTAAAACCAATACTGTTTATACATGTGAATATTCAGTACAAACCCCACAGTATTACCTATGCAGACGAGACCCTGGGATTGGGATCTATCTAAAAAAAAACAAACCCAAACCACCACATTTTAAGCCATCACCTAATCACTTCCCTGTTCTAGTATCCTCAAATTTCAATCACTTGACAAGTATTAGATCAGTCATACCTTTGGATCTCCTAGTCGTTCAAGGTATTTCTCAAATGATCCTTCCACATACTTTCAACAAAACAAAGAAGAAAACAAACATAAAGATGTAGCCAGTTGGAAAGCACAGTTAAACCCAAACACTACACCATACTTTACTAGATGTTGAATAGGAGGGGGCAGGGCAGGGACTGGGGGCAAAGACACCAAGCTGGGGACTCCTCTGCCAATTCCTACTATTTTGGGGTTCTGAAGGGTTGTGGTCTGACTGGAGTATGACTTCAGCTGTTCCCTGCCTTAGAGCATGGGAGTGATTTGGGGTACCACTGTGGAAATACCAAGAGATCCTAACAAAATGAAGCCCATGAGTCTGAATAATATCTCCCTTCTAGATTAGATGAAGCACTTAACTGTGATTAAAGAAGGGGAAAAAACACAAAAACAAAACACACATCAAAAACATAAAACAAAACCCAAAACACATCCCAAGACCACATAACCACACCGCACATGCACCAACCACCACACACAAAAAAACAACCAAATGAAAAAAAACAAACCAAAACAAAACATGACTTTATGCAATGATTAATGACACTCTGGAGTTTTCCACCATCATTTTATGTTCATTTCTTACTCCAAAATCCTACATATTTACTACCTATTGAATTCTGTAATGATTGCTCCACAGAGAACATGCTACACAAATAACTCTCACGCTACTGGTTGCTTAGGTATCAGTAACTTGCTTGATTTCAGGAGCTTCAGAAATACAAAGTCAAAGAAAACTTGTGTGATTGCAACTCAAGGTAAGCAAGCCATCACCCTGCCATTTCTCTTCTCTTACATGCATCAAGCCTGGCAAAGCACGACATGTTTTCAGTGCATATGTTTATGTGGGTATGTTTATGGCTAAACCACTCACCCCCCTCCCACCTTACTTCCTAACTACATGTGCAGAACTGCCTAACACACACAATACTTACAGATTCAAACTTATGCTGGTGATGCCTCATAAACAAGACACAAGCTTTCCTAATTTCAACATGATGAATTTGAGATGAAAACAGCTGAAAAAACAAAGATTATGGAAGAATGAAGGAGAAAACTGCAGTTTAATTTATGCTTCACAACATGCTTATTTTACGCGTAGTTTGTAAAGACTAACAGCACCACAAAACACTTTGCAAAACAGGGGGACGAGCCTCTGCTGAGGGTCACAGGCACTTGGGGGGAAGAAGCTGAGGAAAGCCCAAGGGACCCAGGAGCCTGCCTGCCCAGGAGCCCAGGGCGCTGACCACACCCCCCCCACCACCCGCGACGCCTCACTTCGGGCACCCAGGAGGAGGTCTCAGGAGCACCCCAAACCCACCCTCAGCCGCGGGCCTGAGGCGCCCCGGCTCCCCCCGAGACTGTTAGCCACCTACCTGCTCCGAGACGGCTCGGAAGAGGCAAGAGGCGTCCTTGGCCGTCATCTTGCGGTACAGCCCCAGGCTGCCCAGGTACTCGTCCATGGCCACCTCGCTGAAGGACTTCTGCCCGAAGTACTTCTTCCAGCCCTTCTGCATCTTCCCCGGGGGAGGGTGGGGGGAGCAGCAACTCCCAGAGGCGGGAAGGGGAGTGAGGGGGGGGTGGGGGGTGGTGGTGGCGGGCGAAAGGAGGCTCCGCGCGAGGCGCTGCGCTCCGCGGCACGGCGCGTGGCGGCTGGGCGCGCGGCTGCTGCTAATGAGGCGCCACGCCCAACGCGCCCACCTGCGCCGGGCGCCATGAGCCGGCCCGGCCCCACAGCATCCCCCCTCACCCCCCGCTCCTCTTCCTCATCCTACCACTGGCGCTGGGCTCTGCCGCTGCTCCCGGAGCGCACCCCCAAACTTGACAGACCCCCAGCCCGGTAGAACCGGGTCCGGCTCCCTGTTACCGGTGAGCGGTGCCCCCGCGGGTCGCCCGCAAGAGGTGCCTCCTGCAGCAGCCATTTTAAGATGCCCGCTAAAAGCCCCAAATCTCTGTCCCGCTCTCCCGTTTCGCGACTTGCAGGGGCTGTCCGAGCGCCGTGGGGTCGGGGCAGCCCCCCCCCCCTCAACCCAGCTCTCGGCGTGGAGGCCAAACCGCGGTGAGCCCCAGCAGACATCTACCAGACCTGCCTCGGGAGAAGGGAGTCCCTGCCAAGATACCTCCTTCCCGCTTCATCGCTCAATGTGCCTGTGACTGCAAATAACTAGCGGGAAAATCAGTCAAATAGTTATTCAGAATTTCCTGTGATGTGCCCGCATGCTCTCGGACTAGAGAGAAGCTGCTAGCAGGAAAGCTGAAATAGCAGCTCTATAAAAATCGCTAAGGAAGTGAAAAATCTTAGTTCGTCCTAATGAAGTATTTGGGGAAAACTTCGGGGATCTGTAAAAATCACCTTTGGTTTATTCCACATATAGCGCTTGTGCTTGATTTGGAGAATGCCACTAAGTACATTTAACTTGCTAGTAAAAATTGCACTTGGACATCAGATGCACGATCCAGGAGTTTCTTTTTCTTGAAGCAACAGCAACAAACCCCAAACTTGCAGGAAGAACGATTAGCACAAACTGTGCACTTACACAGTTCCAGATGTTACAGACCAAATAGTCTGCATGAACCTTTATAAGTTTAAACCCCCTTCGTTTTTCAAAATACTTGCTTAAACAAATTGGTGGCAGCATCAACACAGTTGACAATTTTAATACTTTAAGTGGGGAACTCCCCTGATCAGTGTCAAACAGGAAACATGGAACTTTACAGAAGCCCAAAGTAATGATGCAATAACATAGTGTAAATGGATTGATTGTATAGTCAAACCCATTCCTTTCCTATAGGCCATGTTTTACTTCGGGAGTAAATCACCCAAAACCAAGTGAGTTGGTGGACAGTTTGGCAGCAGGTTTGCAGCTTGTGACTTTTCCCACCCAGATTCACCACATGCCTCTTTCCCTTTAGAGAGGTTTAAAACTCAGTTTTAAAATTCTCTTTTCAGTGCTTCTGTAAACACACAAAATGAGAGCCAAAGGCATCTGCTTATTTGCAGAACATTACAGGAACATCAACAAGGACAACTTATTTTTCCATCAGTACTAGGCAAATCTAGTCAAGAGACGTATATGCCATGCCTGTTAAGAAGTAATTTAGCTTGTTCTCCTTACTGGAATTACCAACGCAGTGCAGATTTTGTGATGTAAAATGTCTGTCTGTCAAAGAAACTAGACAGTTTACATTCCTCCCCCCTCCCCCTTGTTGGTACTGTGCTCTTTTAAGCATAAAGCTAGATGAGTTTAAACTGGCACTGAATAGGACACCGTTTAATGTCAGTTAACATTTAACATCTTCTTTGAGGGTTTGTCCCAGTTGGTGGACTCTTAAGTACAGAAGACCTCACTAGGAGAGGGGAAAGGTTTTATTCTGACATTTTTATTCCTCTGTATTGCTTACTGAAACCCGACAACTTTATCCAAGAACAAAGCAAACTTTTCTGGATGTCCAGGAGGAAAAGGTTTCAAAGTTGACAGGTCCATCAACCGCAGTGTCTCCACAAGAGTGCTGTAAAAACAGACCAAAACAAAATATTTTAAAAAATAAATCAAGCCCAAACGGAAATTTTTTTTCTTTAGACAATTTTCTTTCTATTCATACATAATTCTTTGGCATGGAAGCAAAAATAAGGACACATATTGAAAGAGATCCCACAAACCAGCGGACCCCAACCATCACTGGCTCATGGGCACATCGCAGAGAACACTTTGACCGATACCACGGCTTTGACAGACAACTCAGCTCTAACATTTTAATCTTCCATGCTTGTAGTGTTGGGAGACTGAACAAGATCTGAGGATCTTCACCATAAACTGTAACTGGAAACTCAGGACACATGGCATAGTTCTCCACTTAACACACAGCCAGAAAGAACAGCTAAACCAATCTGTTAGCTTGCTATTATCAGACTGCAAATAACGCTCAAATACACAGGCATTGTTCACAAATAAAAATTCCTTCCTGTCTCTGAAGCTGTCAGAAGCACGGAGATAATAAGTTGAAGAAATTTGCCCAGGCCTAGTCTTTTCAGAAGGCTCTTCTGAAACATACGAAATGCTATTTGCAGGGCAAAGGAACAAGTTTAAAGGTCTTGTTATTTGTAGAGTGCAACCAATCATAAATAATCATAAACAGTAAGATATAGTTAAGAGAGCAAATGAAACTAACAGGAGCCAGGATGAACACAAACAAAAAGGAGCTGGGTTTTTTGGTGGTGGTCGTTTTTTTTTCTGGGGGCGGGGAGGATGTTTGTTTTGGTTTTTGCTTTTTTCCTGAAGTGACAGGCAGTAGATCTGTGAAACTCATCAGAGGATGTGGTGGATTCAGGAAGTTTGGTTAAAAGGGCAGTTTGAACTTGGAAGACAGAGGCATTGAAAGTTACTAACCAGACAGCATCTGACTTTGGGCTCCCTCTGAATCAAATACTAAAGAGCACTGGAGGGAAGCACCATATGTTCTTGCCCCTTTTCTACGTTTGGGTGGGCATCTGCATATGGCCACTGCAAACAGGATACTGAGCTACGAGAACTCCTGATCCATATCAGCAAGGCCATTCTTATGTTTTGTTCTAAATACCCCATATACTTTCAATTTTATTATGTCAATACACCTATATAGTCAACTTTAGTGCCCTTTACAAGGCAAATCCACATAGCAAAATGATGGAGTCTTAAGTCTGAAGGGAACAATTTATTCCTTAGGGCTCATGGTTACAAACTGATGGTTTGGGTTGTATTATTTCTAGTCTTCAAAAAAGAAATCAACAACTAGTGAAAAATAACAGAGAAAGATAGAAGCTGTTGGGTGCCTCTAGAATGCTACCTGACTGTTCCAAATTCAATCACTTATATTTGGTTTAAATTGCTCTTTCAGTCTCAATACATGTGCCCTCAAAAAAAAAAAAAAAATTAAAAGGAGTCATGGTCAAAAGGCTTGGTAAATTAACACCTAATGTTAATCTATCCACTATGAAATACCTACTTTGCAAACAAATGGTTGTTACAGAAAAGGATGGAGGTTTCCTTGTTACATTCTCAATACTGTAGTAACAGAGTGATGGTGCTGTACGCTGCTTGTTCAGTCAGGACAGCCACAGCAGCTCCATACCTGCAGTAGCAGCAGAGGACATGCCCATCTCTGTTGAGCCGTTTTGCCAGTTCAAGTTGATGGTTGTTCATCAGCTTTTCGTTTATTACTACTATTAGTGGTTTTCCTTTTTCTAGAGTCTCCAGACAGCTACCTGCACCTACAGGTCAAACAGAAAACACGATGAGCTTCTGCCCCGACAGATGAAGTAGCATCCTACTTGCTCTTGAAACGCGGGGGACTCCTGAAGGCGAACATTTACCCCCTCAGCTCTAGCTGTGGACCTCCATATTCAATGCCAGACCAGCCCCAAGCCGTAGGGACACCGACTTCCCCTCCTGCCCTCAGGCGAACAGGTTCGGCAAAAGAAAAACAGGGCTCTACCTGCGTGGCTGATGACCAGGTCTGCCCTCCCCAGGTCCTCGGCCAGCGAGTCCTTGAAGCGGAAGGCTTCCACCGCCAAGGCCGGGCTGCTGCTCAGCGCCGGCTTCAGCGCTCCCCGCCCGACCTGCAGCACCAGCTTCCCGTAGCCGCGGCTCTGCAGCACCTGCGCCGGAGGGAAGGAAGTCGGACACCGGGGTGCTGGGCCCGGCTCCCCGTTACCCCGGCGCGGCCCGGCGGTCGCTACCGGCCCCCGCCCGCCAAGCTCCGCGCCACAGGCCGTCCCTTCCCGCTCCGCCGCCTCTCATCGCGGCGCCCCCCACAACCGCCCCCCGGCGCCCCCCCAACTTCTCCCGCCCCCTCAGCCACCCCCGGGTGGGACGTGGAGGGAGGGAAGGGAGAAAGGGCGGGACAGCTCCCAGCGCGCAGGCGCTTAGTTGCGGCGCTGAGGGGAGGGACGGGCCGGCTGCCCACGGAGCTGGGCTCTCTGCCGCTTCACCTGCAGGGCCGGCGGGGAGCTGACGGTCGCGATCAGGTCGTCGAAGCTGGTGGTGCCCACGGTGACAAGGACGGACTTCATGGCCGGCGGCCGCCCGCTCACGGCTGTTCTGCGGGCGGGCAGCCGCCAGGGAGCGCCGGGCAGCGCTCCCCAAAATGGCTGCCGGCCTGAGGGGGAGGTTTGGCGGGCGGCCGGGAGGGCCGAGTCTGCCTTCTCCGTGCTCGTTTAGGCCCGCTGTCTCCGCCCAGACGAGCGTAGGGGACGGGGAGAATGCGGTTCCCGGTGCTGCGGGGCAGCCAGACCCGCCGCAGGGATGCGAGATTCCATTCCGCGGTGCCGGAATGGCAGGGAGGGCGCCCGCTCGCTCTGACAAGCACGCTTGCCGGCAGCGTTCAGCAACCTCAGCGTGGTAACTATTAGTGCGTCAATTTTTCAGACTTTCAGGGTATAGGGGGTGGGGAAACAACCTCAGTTTGAAAAAGTGAGTCGGAAAGTTTTGCTCTCCAGATGTTACTTTCAGCAGTTGGGGCGCAGATTACTGTAACTGATAGACTGACTGGGCCAGAGTGTTTACAGCCCACCATTCCCACAGAATGGCTGCAGCTACCTTTTCTTCATAGACTGACCCAGTCAGACCCAGGCCTGCCACAGCATCTACCGAGGGAGTAACATCACAAAAGGATAGTCATAAAGGAGCAGTCAGTCATGCTTTGGAGGAGAAATGGATGTGTTGTCTACAGCAATACTACTGCAGCAGGGAAGTAGGATACAGGATAGCAGTCAAGATGAACAAAATCATAAATTGAGAGACCTGCAAGAGAGCAGAGTTACTGCAGAGCACATTAGAAGTACCTGTGTGATAGCCGGAGGCCCTTGAAAAGCCACACCACAGGGTTTCAGAACCTGCCTTTTTCCAGATCAACTTCTGACAAGACAAGCATGTTACATGGTAAATGCAATTGAAGAAATCCGTAGCATTTCAGCACAAAGTTGTTGTATAACCTACCAGGTGTAGCTCCCTGAACTGTAGATAGCAAGAATAGCTCTTCATTTTACCTGAAATTAGCCATCTAGGATTAGCGTGTTGAAGGAAGTTCCACACTGGGACAGTGGAGCTACTTTAGATGGCAATATGTTGAATCAAGCATGAAAACAATTTGCATTACTGAAATTTTTACGTTCCATCTTCAAGTAATATATTTTGGAATAAAAGCCAAGAGGTTTACATGCTGATGCAATAAAAGCTGCAACTGCCATATACTTCAAATAACAGTGCTGTAGTAGGTCCCATAATGGCAACCCAAGGCTGACACAACCCCTTGAGCACTGGGCCTCACCGGGGAGGGGACACACTTCTGGTTAGATCATCACCTGGGGGCATGTCATAGCACTGCAGAGCAAATGCATGGGATGCAAGCCTACCTTCAAATGACTGAAGGCAGGAGAAAATTGCATACATTTCTATAAGTGGGTGAGCTTGGGTGGTTTTGCTGTGTGGATGTCATTCCACTGATGCTACAGGGATTGGTGAAGGTGGGAAACTGAAGGAAAATAGATAAGTATAGTTTAACTCTGCCTTCTATGTTTTGTTTAGAGAACTTTAATAATTCTGGTTATATATATGTGTCCACTCCCCCATAAATCCTGCAAACTCCATTAGAAATTGTTGTCTACTGGCTCTTAGTTAAGCACAGTGTCAGACATAAAAATTACTTGGCCTAAATAGATGAACCTGTCACAGAAACAGACTGCAACTCAAGGAAAACCCTGAAAGACTGAAGTCAAAGCTAGGAGCTATAACCTCCTGGTTTCTTTTCCTCACTTGGTTAATGACGAGTGTTAGCACCTTGGGGAAGTGATTATCTTTTCCATTTCTCCACCTGCAAGACAGTGTTTAGCAATTTATCTCCTCTAAAGCTTTCAGTGGATGTGATTATATTCATGTGCAGACAATTGAGTCTCTTAAAAATCTTCTCTAGCAAATACATTGAATAGTTTTTTTGCCTACCTTCCTCCCCTTGGCCTCTTGAAAGATACATTCTCAGTATCATTGAATACAGGTAGGCTTCCCCTCCTCTCTACTGCCCTTTCTCTAAGCACAAATCTTTCTGATGCTATTTCAGGCTCATCTTACTACTTTTTTACAGGGACTAAGGGAAAGTACTCCCTTGAGCAAAGGCATGTCAGCTTCCTGTGGAATGTGATCCTAAGAGCCAAGGGACAGGAAATCTGGCAGGAGCTGAGGCTGAACCCTTTCTGAAAAAAATAAAAATGCTGTTCAGTGCTGAACCACATTAAATCAATTGCAAAGATGAAGTCACCAGTAAATTTATTATTTCACATACATTTCCCCGTTGTGATGAAAACCTAGGTAGTGGGAAGGGATAACATTTTAGTTAAAAAAAAAAAAATCCAAACATTAAATCTGTTAACAGTCTTGCCCGCTGAAGGCTAAGAATAACCCCTTAGCAGTTGCACAAACTGACTAGCAGTTTTCTTATTTGCAGGTGTAACACAATGTACAATTCTCCAAAAAGAAACTCCTCAAGTTAGACATCTACATCTATTTATTCCCTGAATTAAATTGAATAGATGAGGTCACATCTGTATATACTACTGAGTGTTCCAAGAAAGATGCAGAAAAGATGTAGCTATCTTGAGGATACCTCTGATTGCTATGTTAATGGCTCATTCACAGTGCTCGTTAGCCCCCTGTTGCTTTCATTTAGCATAATGAGCCACAGTGAAATGTATTTATTTTTTGATTAAAGCAAATGCTGCTGACAGCAGATGTGGCCAGGGGGAGGGTGGCACTTTATCGTGGGAAACCTGCTGTAGAACAAAATCAGAGTCCTGAGTGCACAGGGCCTTTAGTGGCTCTAGCCAGCCTCACCTAGCTCTTTACTGCTCTCCCTCAGGACAAGGCAGCCAGGAGCTGAGGGTGACCACAACACAAGCCAGGCAAAGACCTTGCTGACAGGGCACAGTGGGACCACACCAGAGAAAAGCAAGCAAAGCAGTGGCAGCAATATGTCCATCAGTCCAGTGACCATCAGGCAAATACAAGGTAACAAGCTATTTCCAGGGTTAATCCAGGAAACCCAAACAGCCATTCAGGAGCAGAACTAGCAGCAAGGACAACTCACCTCTCTCCTCCCAGCGTAAGAAAGACATGGACCTGCTCAAGCAGGGAGGGCCACAGAGGTGAGAGGCTGGAACACCTCCCTTATGAGGCTAGGCTGAGAGAGTTGGGGGTGTTCAGCCTGGAGAAGAGAAGGCTCCGGGGAGACCTTTGAGAGGCCTTCCAGTGCTTAAAGGGAGGACAGGGAAAATGGGGAGGGACTCTATCAGAGGGTGCAAGGGTAGGACAAGGGGTAACGGTTTTAAAATGAAAGAGGGTGGATTTAGGTATTAAGAAGAAATTCTTCCCTGTGTGGGTGGTGAGGCGCTGGCCCAGGGTACCCAGAGAAGCTGTGGCTGCCCCCTCCCTGGAAGGGTTCAAGGCCAGGTTGGACGGGGCTGGGAGCACCCTGGGCTGGGGGAAGGTGGCTGTTCCTTGGGGTTGGTGAGGACAGCTGGAACTAGATGATCTTTAAGGTCCCTTCCAACACAAACCATTTTATGACTCTACTTGAAGCCCAAGCTTAAATGAAGTCACCATCAGAGGGTGTGAGTGGAAGGCCCAGCTCTGGCTGCTCAGGGCAATTAAGACTTATTAGTGCAGTCAAGGCCCTGACAACTGATGGATAGGAAGTCAGACTTCAGGATGAATGGAAGGATACTAAATTTTTCAGGTATGTCAGAGATGAGGGTTAGCATGTGTGTAAATCTTTGTGAGAAAAGGTAAGGACAGAATAATTAAATGATTGTGGTGGTTTTGGGTTTTGGTGTTTTGTTTTTTAATGAGGAGGAGAAAATTTAAGTATATTGGAGTGTTTTCCTGTTTGTGTGATTATTTTTTTATTAGGTTAATTACAGTAGTTTAGGAAATTACTGCTCATTTGTAACTGAAGCACTGTAACTCATCACATGTATGCTCTTACTCTGCCAAAATTGAAAAGGAACCTCACCATCCTAAATCCACACACTCATTCTGCAATTAGAACAGGTTTACAGTGGTTGCCATTGTACCTCACCTGTGACCTTGCTTTCTGCTGTCCACTTATAAAGTTCCTATAAAGTAAGGTACTCCCAAGAAAATGTTCCATGCATAAGCAGCAACTTGTTCATATTCTCACTATTTGCTCCCTCAAATTTCAGCAGAGTAAAATGTGTATTTAGAAAAATTAAGACACTCTGGATAATACTAGTCTTCCTCAAATGAAAAAGAAATTGGAGTACAGTCTGCATAGTACTGTGAGTTAAATTCCTATATCTAGGTTTGCTTTGACAGTGTTTGCATTCAGAAAGCATTCTTCCAGTCAATATGTGCCCATTTGGTGGCAATTTCTAAACTCTGCTCAGTTATTCTTGTCAGTGCTTTAGGGTATTCACAAGTTAAATTAAATGGGTATTTTAGGAGAATGACATGTTAGGTGACAATAAACCCATGCAGCTCAAGAAAGGAACAGATTCACTGACCTCTTCCTACTCTTAAGAAGAGGTTTGGACTAATTTCTGTGTGTTCAAAGGCCTGCTCAAAGGGAGCATGCTGCTCTTCTCCCAGAGTGTAGAAGGCCTGACTGCATAAGAGCATGGTACTTCAAGTTTCAGGAACAGTTGACCATACTCAGCAGTTTGCAAAAACAGACCTAATGTTACTAGTGTGTTAAATGGAATCTATCTTTCATTTTTCTTAATCAGAAATGTCCAGGAGTGAGTAAGCACCTGTCAACATGGAGTCCTCCTTACATTAAATCACTTTTAATACTCCTTGTAGAAGATGTTATATACAGTTTTGTTTGAAATAAGGGTTAAAACAGCTATTCCTGAACAGTATGTTCAGGATCATAGCACATCAGATTTTGCATTTGATTCTTTTGCTTTTTGTTGTGTGAGTGCTGAATTTCACTTCTACAGGACCCTGTATTGCTCATTTGCTTTCTAGAATGAAGAGACTTCAGAAATCACTGGAATGATTTCTGTGCTATGGAGCAGGTCTGTGTGATTCTAGTTTGGTGTTTTCCACATGTCACTGAAAGCCAGTGCCCCCTACAACTTGTACTCCCAGCATCATGCTGTATAGGGACTAGAAGAAAAAAATACAAGTAACATTGCAGTGACTTAAATTTGCTTTGGAGTTTTCACTGGAGGATACATTACACTTGCACATTGAATTAGGCTTGTTAGAGTGATTTTTAAAATAAAAAGCGGAAGCCATCCATTATAGGACTCAATCTTGTGCTAATTTGTACCTGGTATTTTAATTAGAATTGTGTGGGGCATAAATAGAATTTTGTCCATGAACATTTATGCTCTGGTCCATGAGAACTACAGAACATTTGCAGTATGTGATGCTTGGAGCTGATCCCTTGTTTTAAGGCAGTTAAAGATCATGTAATCCAGCCATGGTACTATGTCTTGTTTCTGGCCATTTCTTGCTACCCCTGCTCTGCATTTCTACAGATATTCATACAACCACATAGTGATCCAGTTCAGAGAACCAATCTGACAGGATTTGTTTGCAGTTAGATCAGTTCCCTGAGTTGCACAAGAACCACTACTAGCACAAGGAAGGAGGCACAGTTGTGGCAGCTTGGATTTAGGTTGGTTTAAATGCTGGGGAATTGCACCTATGCCTACCCCTTCATTGCCACTTGTAGCTGCACTCATTCTCCAAACCATGTGTCTCAGGCTGTTGAGTGCCTGTTGTGTTTGAGGCAAAACCTGTCCCTGTTTGGGCTGGAGAGTCACTCTCTGCAGTGCCAATTGTTTCTTTCCAAGGTATGTGTGTTGAATATTATCACGGACATTCAAGAAATATGGGCTCAATCTGACATAATACAGTCCAAGATCTCAGAGAGAGGCTCTAAAGGGGCTAAAATGGAAAATACCTTCTTCTGAGAGCTTGCTCCCATCTGTGCTTCGTATTGCATAATTTATATGTTGATATTTTCATCCCATGACAACATCTGGGCAAGAAACTGAAGATGGCATGAGTTTTTTGTTCAGTGAGAAATGATGTATGCCTCCTCCCTTCTCCTTAACCTTTATTTGAAATGTTTCTGGATGGCTCAGCTTTGAGCACTGTCACTTTGTATTCAGCTCAGCTTGCCACC